CGCTCTTTCATCTAAACTATGAAAATTATTAGGTCAGTTTGACTTCATCTTTTTCAAAACTAAAATTTTTTAAAAACGTCCTTCCGAAACGGGCAACGGGATTTCAATTCTGATGACCGACAGCTTCTTACGGGCAAACTCTACACCAAAAATAGTGCCGACAGGGTATTACTGTACCTGGTATCGTATGGGTAGGGCCTCTATTGGGCACTCTCATACAACTTTTATATATCTTTTCTATTTCAATAAAATCAGCCCTTAGGTTTTTCTTAATCAAACACCTTACAAAGAATGTCTTATTCCTTCTCATCTTTTTCCTGATTTGGGCTCAATTTGGAAGATTTTTTAGTGAGAGAGCTATGGATTGGAAGAGGGTTTTCTTCCTGCAGGCCGTCGTTCTCGTTTTCATCACAGATCTAGTTGCAGAGCCCCGACTATCCCTAGGTGCGCTAAATATTTGAGTACCACACTTTACACACGAGGGGAATCAAATCCGTGACCCAAGAGGACTTACGATCTTCAGAGAAGTTGCTCTACCAATAGGTCGCAATTTCAAAGACATCAATCCCCAAACTGATCACCTGTGATCGAGACAAGAGTTGACAATTTTCAAAGATGATTGTTTTCTCAATGATGACCGTATTGATCATAAATTTCAATAGTATAGGTTCATTTATAAAATTAAAATATTTTCAATCATAAGAAAATAATATTCAAATTAAAAATTATGTCACTTAATGTTTGAAACGAAATTCATCTGCCTACAGCAACCGTTCTTCGAGGCGGACAAATTTTGCATTAACTCAAGCTCACAAAGAAGCAATGTAATATCAAGTATACTGCCGAATTTATGCTCAAAATGAATCTTATGCCAATAAAGACATGACCCGTCCTGTACCAGCGTGGTTCTTGCCGTCTAATGACACCATAAAGTAGTTACGATTAAAATCGTTTGACCGGGTGGTTTACTGCCAAATGACACAATTATATTATGGTCACGGTTGTAGCCTGTATGTTATCCGCTGACAGTCTAACTTTTTGAGTATTTAATCATAGGGTATATTCAGTAAGACAGAAAACCCTCTTTAAGCTAAGTTTGACTTAGATTAGTCCCGTTAGACAAATATTCATCCCAGTTCTACAGGGTCCCCTTGGACGAAGCAATCCATGGCTGCCGAAAATGATCTTTTTGTCAGGTTGAGTACCTCTGCTAAGTAGACCCGAGACCAAGACAACCCGGGATAATGAAACTATGGGATCTTGATCTGGTTCTTCATCGTTTCTTCCACTATCCACTTTGAGCTCAAAGTGATAATTTAAATTCTTAAATTTACTATTATTATATGTTAATTATGAATACTTAGCGCTTAATTACCAGCCTTAATCGAAAGCGTTCTCCCGTTATCGGGAGAGGTAATTAATTATAGAGAATTGCGCTTATGAAAAACCTTGAACCCCAAATCTTAAAATACTCGTAAAATGAGAGCGAAATCTTTGGTTAGTGTTTTATCTACTGTCTCATCTCTCTTCTGAAAATTTGACCTATAAACTTAACACATACACCGTTAAGCACTCGATGAGAGTCCAGTACGCTTTTCAAATTTTCAGAGCCCACAAGAAACTTAACAAATTTGAACTTATGGAACAAACGAATGAAAATGTAGCTATTCGATAGTTTTATAAAATGCGTATCTAAAGATTATAAAGTTAAATGGGTAGGTTGTTGAAAATGATTTGTAAGGAATTGGTTAATACTTTATGCTAATCATATGTAGTTGGGATAAGTCTAATGATTATGATGATGATTATAATAACACAATTAAACTGGAAGCAGCCATAAATGCATATGCGCACATGAAATTTTCATATTATTATTATTTTCGTAAACAAAAGAATATATTTTTTTGCTCGTTCATGCAAGCACTTGGAATAAACATATTGAAACCTATTTGAAAATGCCAAATTAAAAATGACAACTGTTTTAGCGTCAAAGAAGTATAACTATTGAATAACAGGCCTTCAAAATCAAGATTTCAAAGCATACCTATGAGAGCGACTGCTGTGATCATTCATAGCTGTACATGAAATAGCACGGTTTTTCCAGCCTAAATTCATTATTTCAATTACTTCTTCTGTTGATCTAACAGGAACCAAGTTTGCATCAGGCACGCTGAGTCCTTTATTTGAGCAGTTTCGAATCTCTAATGTATGTTCGTGTTAAAGAAGCACTCACTTATGGGGAAGAAAAATGAAACAAATGACTTAAAAAAATAAAAAATGGGATGCATACCACTAAAAAACTTTACAACACAATCATTATCTTTTAAAAGTAAAATACACCTTCTCATGTATAGATTTATGACAGCCAAAGTGTTGTAAGTGTAAATATCATCCATTAGATGTTACATATGTAAATACATAAGAATTGTGTGGTATGTCTGTAAATTTTACTTAAAAATGTCGAGCTAATGAAGGATATCTTTTGTTAAGGCCATCATTAAGCAGATCTCTAACTTGTTCATTGTAAATCTCAACCATCTGAACTGAGATTTCATATATAAAGGTATCTTTTCGTTGCTCGGAAAGGTGAAAGAGATCATTCAATGCCCTGTAGTTTACTCCAACAGTTTTCTCATTGAGCTCTTTAGGCCCACTCTGCATAGTGATTCAAATACAAAGTATTTAGTACATTTCATAGTCTAAGCATTGCATGTGTTCTTAGCAAAGATGTGGATAACAATGTTCTTACCATTGTATGTGTTTTTCCTGAACCTGTTTGGCCATAAGCAAAAATACAGACATTGTAACCATCAAGGACAGATCTAATTAAGGGTTGAGTATCTGAAAAAATCTCCTCTGCAATGAAGCCACACTTGAATAAATAAAATATTCTTCAAAGATGAACATAAACCTAAGCTCAATTTTTCAAAAAACCTTGTGTTGCTGATGGGCCAAAAACCTTGTTGAAAGTGAAAGTTCTTCGTGCATCTTTTCCAGTTTTTGATTGTGTAAATATCGTAATATTTTGATCATCAATACGACCAAGAGAGCTCATAGTACTCATTTGACCAGGTAGGAAAGGTCTCACCCGGCAATAAACCCTAATGTTTCCTAATATGGCCAACAAAAGCTCAATTCCCATAGGAATAAAGCTGTATACAAAAACTTTATTTTATGCTAACAATTATACCTTTCAGATCTTGAATTTGATTGTATAGTTTTCTATTTTCTTCAAGAACTTTATGATATCCTGATGCAGCACTTGCTAGGGCACATAGTTTATTTCCTGTTGCACGATGAGAGATGAACTGGTTATCAATAAAGAAAAGAGAAAATTGTCAAAGTAATCCTCTGACTTTAGTCAAAGGAAATTTTAGTCCCAGAGTCTATAAAAATGCCAACTTAGTCTTCAGACTTTTTTGATGAGCTAAAATAGTCATTTATGTGGATTATTTCAGCTTATATTAAAAGGTCTGAGGATAAATTTGACAATTTTATGAATTCGGGACAAAATAATCCCATGTAAATAGTTAGGGGACTACTTTGACACTTTACTCATAAAGAAAAGTTCACACACAACAGAGGTTGATCTAATGCAATGATAAACTTACCAAGATTACCAAATTCTTCTGAGTGACGTCTCTTCAAATACTCCACACCAGTCCTAGTAAAGCGAAGCGCATATTTCAGTTCCTAGGAGCATCAAAAGCAGGAGTACTTTTAGAAATGATTAATGGCAAGATTTTCAATAGGATAAATCATGGACAAGAAGTACTTGAATCTCCTTTTGTTGACGATCAAAAATTAGCTGTTGCCTGATAAGCCTCTCATTTAAGGCCTTCTGTTTCAATTCCTTTTTTATTTCCTTTGCATGCTGCTTACTAAGCCTCTCTTCCTTTGCTTTTTCTTCCATCTCCGTTAGATCAATTTCTTCCATAGGGTTTTCTCTATGCTGCTGCAAAAAATGCTCTTCTTGAAAGGAATTCTCTTCTAGCTTCAATCGTTGCTCCATAAGCATAAGCCTTTCTTTTAAATCTCTCATCTCAACTTCCTTTTCTTGTTGCTTTACATGGCTTTCTTTTGATTCATTCTCACCGTTCTCCTTTATGTTTGCTTCTTCCATGTTACTTTTAGAAGCATTTCCTTGCACCTCCATCTAAAGCAATTTAAATATTTAACAAAGCAAGGAATTTCATTCAAAAGAACTGAAATAAGATTAGCCATCATTATCATTAGCTTTATCCCAAATATTTGGGGTTGACTAAGTGACAATAAGTCCAAAAGTCTAAATCAATATGATTCATGATCAGACACAAGATTAAGAATAGTTGGGATTTCATTATGTTTCCATTACTTTCTTCCACTCCAAAGTCCAAATAGCCTTAATGATAGCATGAAGATCAATATTCATATCATACGTACATTAAATTATTTCTGAAAAAGTTGGATATGCAATTCTATGCTCTTACTGAAGTGAAAACAAAAGATAGTTATGTTTCCAAGGCAAATGAAAACTCAAAACTCTTCAAAAAGGCTGGTCGTGGGTGATATATGTTTACACTAGCGCTAGAGGAAAAAGCTCTATTGGTCATGGAGAATTTTTTTCAAAAAGGTTGGTCAAGCCCTTGACTCGAGGGTGATAATGAAATTTATCCATGGAAATAAAGATAATTAAAAATACAATTCAACTAGCAAGAAAGGGCAAAGGCTTCAAGGAGAAATTTTTCCAAAAGATTCTCAAGAATTCAATTTTTCAAAGATTTTTTTTGCTCTTGCATGTAAGGATGAAGAATATATCGTAGTAGTACAAATGTTGTTCATATTTGCAAAGTTTTCCATTGGCATAGAGATAAAAGATATACATTTTTCTCTAAGTGGTAGTGGGACAATCATTCATATTTGCTAGGATATTTCTTAAGGAGGTTAGTTAAGATTTAGGAGAGATAATAGAGGTTCTGTATGGTAAAAAAATAAAAAGGATGCCTTTTTCTACAACATGAAAGTGCAAAGGCTTTGTTGGGGTAGCTGGTTTGTTGTCGGCACTAACATCACTAAAGGTTGTTGATTTTCCTTTGATATGTTTTAAGGGAAAAAGAAGAATAACTAAGGCTAAAATTATACATGTATGCAGATAAGATGGTCTCATTAAATAAGAAAAACTCAATAATCAAATTTCTTGGTTAAATAGAATATAGAAAGGAGCAAGCAATTATTTCATCACACAAAATGCCAACAGCTGAAAGTCGTGCAATATATGATAAAACTTATTTTTTGCCTCAACAATAAAGAGATAATTTAAAATCTAAGTATTAAGTGAGAAGAAATAAAAGCCACCACCTTCTTCTGGTTGGCAATGCATTGCTGAAATTCTTGCATCACTTTATTTAATATCGTCTCCACAAGCTGAAAGAAAAATTATTTGTCACAGCATTGGTTAACAAAAAATAGGAAACCATAAGGGTAGACTCACAAGTGGAACTTCTTCAGGCCTCTTATTAGACAGAGCTGAATGAATCAACATATTGAGAGAATGCGAACTTTTCTGTGAATCAAACCATGTAGATTGTAGTTATGAGTATGAATCATTTTGATGCAATATTGAAACGAAGTTTAACAGACCAACCATTTCCATTGATTTCACTGACATGTCCCCACTGAAATTATCTTCCGAGGAGAGATCATCAGAAGATTTCTCAGGTAATGTTTGAGCTCGAGAAATGGAATTCATGAAAGGATCAGAGCTTTTTCTCATAAAATGGTTTGATGAGCTTCCAGGTCTCGTCATCCCACCAAATTTCGAAGAACCACTTTTGCCAACTTGGCTGCCTTCAACTTGTGATTTAAGTGCCAGAACAGAGTCCACAACGCTAAAGCTTTTCCCTCCCTAAGAAAATAATTTTTTTTAAAAAAAAGTTTAAACAAAAAAATGAACAAGGTGCTCCACTAAATGTTCATTTAACTATGCAAATTTAGAAAATTGGTGTCAATATGGTCGTAAGAAAGGTATAATAAGGTTTCTTATTTGTAAAAGGTGTAGAACTGGGCAACACAGAGCTGAAAGAGAAGTTCTCATTGACAAAATACAACGACGAAACTTATGTGTTTATGCAAGAGAGCTAAAAGATAGCTTAAAATCCACTTCATAATTTCCCTAAACTACACAAGTAGACCAAGTAACCATTGAGAAGCATATCAAACATAGGGTCTATCTGGGACAATTTTCTATAAGCTTTGCATTTCAGACTGTCATCACAATTCTGTTTAGAGAACTACTTTCTTGTTTTTTTCTTTATTATTATTTTTTTTTTATGAGATACTATTTTTTTGCAAACAGATATGTTAAATATCGTGACTGTAAGAAAGTTATAGTCTATTTTTCATGGAAATAGTAAATATTTATAACTCACACCATAACTTTCAAAAAAATTATTTTTCTCACTATAGCTTTACAACCACTTTCACAAAAAAACTACAGTCGTAAAAAACAGCCCTTAATCACCAAACTCAAAATTTCCAAATAAAGTAGAGTTAGAAATGCACACCCTTTCGAGATCTGATGCCTCAAATGTGGGAAGGCCCATGTCTTGAAGCGCCACGATAAAGTTTCTAATGTTCTCAAAGTACAGGTAAGCAGATAGTGGTGCTCCATCTGGGATGACAAGTGAATCAATGGGAACTTCTATGACCTATGGAAGCATTATTAACTCAAATATTGAATAAGTCTAAGGATTTTATGATAAATTGTGAATTTTGAAGAACATACCTTTGGTATTGCCCCGGGTTTTACTTTGTTGATGGCATTGCAAAGGATTATTCCATTTCTGAGCGCAATCCTGAATTCTTCTTCCGAAGGCTCCTCCGGCAAATCCTTCGCTCCCACAACACCTACGGTCCTTCTCAGCCATGCGGCCGCCTCATTCCTTCTTGTCTCTGTCATTGTTCACCAGAAGAAGATTGAAACAAAAATAATTCAAATTTACAGGCCCTTCAACTAATTTTTAATGCTGAGACAATTCAAAAGCAATGCAGTCGTTTTTAGTAATTGGAACATTCAACTTTATCATTGAGAATAACACTAAAGCATAGCACAATGGATAGAATTGCACTTTTGAAAAATGGAAAAAGGTTCTCGAAGAAGACAGAGAACTCAAATTTTATAATAATAAAAATATTTTAAGAGTCAAAGACTCAATGCACACCATGTGACCATTGAGACAATAATAAGGTAAAGTCCAACACCTTAGAAAAAAAAAAAAAAAAGAATATGCCATGAAAGTGTGCAGTGTGCTAAAGATAAATAATGAATCACTCAAATTCGATAAAATATGAGTATGAATGTTTAAGCCATATGAGAGCAATAATTAAAAACATCATTTGGAACAACCATCATTACTACATACATGAGTGAAAATAAAAAAATATTAAACAAGGAGATAATTTCAATATAAAAAACTAGAATTTTCAAAAATTACTACAAGAAATAGATAATTTAGGATGACCGAGCTAGAATTTGAATTGAGACGGCCGAAATAGGAGAACAAAAGCTACATAAACCTCTGCATTATCCATCATTACAATGCGCTTCCTAAATCGAGTGAACCGCTGCTCAAACCTAACGTCTTAAGGGAAAAAATAATCCAAAGCTTTTACATCGATCGTAAATAAACGAAACCACATTCTCTTAAATATCTACTAAAAGAAAATTGTTTCTTCACATTCGATGTGAAGAAAGATCACAAAGCATCCAACAAATTCCTTTTAAAAAAATCAGCAACCAACCAATTCCCCGAGGACGACGACCACCCAAATTTCTTTAAAAAAAAAAAAAAAAAAGGAACCAGAAATAAGATCTATAATCACCTGCTTCCTCGGCCCTCCTGGTGGTCAGGTCAATGTCACTGAACCTCGTCGAATGCTGCTTTATCACATCCTCCACCACCGATTCCATCGAGATTAACAAACCCCCATCCGACGCCATCCCTTCCCTCCTAATTCCAATCCATAGCACAAATCTCTCCGCAAACAAATCAGATTGAATCCAAACCCCAAAACCAATTCAATTCTTCATCGTAAGATAAGAAACAGAGAAAGGGAGAGGAAATGTGGGAAGAAAGTGAGAGCTTCGTGGGACTATACTATATTTGTTATGATGTTGAACAAAAAACGTGTGGCCTCCTCTTGGCTTTCTCTAACCGCTCAGACAAAAGTGGGGGAAGCCCAACCGATTCATATTATACCTTTTTCCACGTACATGGTCAAATGTAATAAAAGAAAACAAATGGAGTGGACTACAAAAATAAATAAGTTGTTTTAGCAAGCTCTTCCAATTGGCGGCGACAGACAGATGCCAACCAAATCTACCCAATCCAGTATAAGGAATTTCTCTAAGGATTTTTGGAACAAGTATAATACTATTTTTTTATTCCAACATTAAACAAATCGAATTATAAATTTATGCACATTCAAAATCAAAATGTTATTTTGAGTCTAAATGTAAAAATTCAGTTATGCAATGAAATTGTTTTAAAATATTCTATACAACTTTATATAAAAAATAATTTCAAATATTTTAAAATACTTTTTTATATTAATATTTTTTAAATGAGTAGGCCACCATTAAATGAGTTAAGTCATAGCTAACTCGAATTTTGCTCATGAGCTCTTTATAAAATTGAGTCTAATGAGTCCGCTACATGGCTTGACTCAACTCTCAATAATACCCCTAAAATTTGGTAAAAGACTCTTCGTCTCATAATCTCTTAACTTCGCTTCTCCAAAAAGTATTATTATATTAATTGACAATATGATAGTTTTACTATTTTTTTTTTAAAAAAAGTTATTAGAAAAATACTTATATAAATATTATACAATTTTTTTAAAAAAAAAAAACAAATTATGATACTCAAAATAACTTTTAAATAACCAAGTTCATTATAATATCTCCTCTAATACTTCTAGAACCCCCTTGAATGAACCATTATCACGCATACAATAATCAACAATAATCAATAAACACATAATTTTTTTTTTAAAAAAAATGAAGGGTTTTTAATGAAAATGCTTCAAATTAAGATTGACATTTAGTTGAAACGATGGACATAATAGAACAAAATTAAAACTCATTAAAATTTATCATTTCATAATCTCCACTTTGTTACTAACAGCATAAATAATTTATGCACATTTATTATTCATTTTTATCTTTTCAATAGGAATATCCAACACATCATATTATGTATCCAATACGGCATAAATTCAACATAAAACATAGGCTGACCAAAGGAAACATAATATTAAGATGAGCCATACACCGTCCAGTCATCCATAAGGGAGCAAATTACTTAATATTGCGAATATAGCAGTCATAGGAATACTCGCAGAAAGCAGCTTTAGTTACCATGTTTCTATAACATATAAACATATAAACATATAATCATATATATACGGATACACAGCATAGTGAGACTAATAAGGCTTGGTATTAAACAAGTGATTGCTGCCTCGGCAAGTACTCCATGAAAGCTTTGCCACCTGCATTTACAAAATCCGAATAACTTATCTCTTTTGACAAATAATAGACAACATAAGCTTCTGTAAATGAAAGAAAAGGATGGTACCCACCATCCTCACTCGTCAAAGGCCCTGCTCGCTTCTGCATCAGCTTCAGTATTGTATTCCTAAATGAATAAAAAACATAAGAACCAAGTAACAAATTTTTTTTTTTTACATAAAAATCTAGAGGCGCCAAACCGCAAAGCCGGCATGATGAGTACAGTGCGAGGAGACCATGACTCCCCACATGATTAAAGTGATTGATTACTCAATTATCAGTTAACTACTCCACTAAATATAATAGATTGCTAGCTATACAATAATTCATCAATCAACTGCCCAAATAATCAACAGATTGACTAATTATAAACTAATGCATAATTAAGCACAACTAAATATGTATTTACATTACCAAAATAAGGAACATATAACACAATTTAAAACTATAAAGAAAATACTCCAAGAGAAAGAGAGAAGTCGATGCATCCAACCCTTGGAACATGGCTGATCTCAAATCTGCTCAGCCCACGGGTCAGTTCAACAACTCTTCCGTAAGGTTCATACAAATCTTGGCTTCGGACTTTCCATCTTCTGTCAACCTGTAATCGAACACGAATAGCCAGTGAACATATCTAACACCAAAACTTCAATTTTTACGTATATGACACATTAACTTGCGAAAAAGTGCATTTCGCATTTTAAATCTTAAAATGGTGGTATTTTTTACATGATATGAAAGATTTGGGTATTATGAATGCAAAATGTAAAGTTTAGGAGTTAGATAGTAAATACATAAGAATTAGGTGGGTACGTATGTAAATCCCCCAAGAATATTTGTCATAAATATTTCTTTCTGAAAAAAGAATGGATGAGTTTTAAAATAATACATAAAGTGGTAGTTGCATGTAAAGAACCAACAAAAAAACTTGTATTTAGATTATCATGAGGGCTCGATTGAAATTTTAATTCCTAGCATTTTGCTGCTGAAGATGACCAAATAAGAACATTCATAAGAGGCAGGAGCAATTTACTTCAAATAAAAGTAACAGTAGCTTTATGCAACAATAATGCCACCCTCCCAACAGAAAGATAGTGCTATAAATGTAAATATAAAGTGAAATATACCATTTCAAGGATAGATTTAAGACATCAAAGTGTTATAAATGTAAATATGAAAGTTTAGGAGACATATATGTAATGACATAGAATTGTGTGGAATGTGCGTAAATTTCACAAAATTTAATTATGGATATCAGTAATGTAAATTGCCTACGAGAACAGAAATCTGAATGCATCAGACTCAAAACTATACATTAGTGGGCTTCTTATTTTTATATATACTGTATAGGCTTCAAAAATATATACATTAAACTATACATTAGGTCTAACAGTGACAGCATCAGCAAATACACATTTTCAAGCATAAGTTTTACCGCCAAATTGTTAAAAATGTAAATATCAAACTTTAGGTGTTAGATATGAAAATACATAGGAATTGGATGGCATATATGTAAATGCCCCAACAAAATAAACCATATAGATGATAACTGACAGCAAAGAAATTGAACATTTAACCTGATTGCGGACAAGCTGTGAATCAACAATTGCATGAATGTCATCGTAGCCCATTTCACGAGCATTATCAAGTCCTAGACTCAAGTCCTCATACTCAGCACGATTATGAGTAGTAAAAGTCCGAGGCTTGTGCACGCGAGCAACCTTCAACAAATAGAAGTAAAATTCAAAAATAGTTGCGCAACACAGTTATAACATCATAAACATATATCCCTATCCCATTCTCTTAAGAGTTAAAATTTAAGTAAATATTCACCACATCTCCGCTGGAATTGAGTATCACAGCTCCAGCGCCTCCTTTCCCAGGATTTCCTTTGCAAGCACCATCAGACTTAACAGTGCAGGATTTGGACATTCTTTGAAAATTTTAAGAGAAAATTTAGAATAATGATTATTAAAGATAAATGAAAAGGTTACATAATGCAAAGAGGATAAAGATTAAATAAGCCTAATTTTTTTACAAAGCTTCAAGTACGAAGATGTGTGATTACAAAATTATCTGTAGTTTTGGCATATTCACATTTATTCAAATGCAAAAGAAGTTTCTACTAAAAACAAAGAGTGGGAACCCTAGATGGCAACATTATTTTTAACGGAAATTTACAAACATACCTTACAATTCTTATGTGTCTACATATTTAACATCCAGCGATTGATACATCTATGTCATTCTCATCCAACTCAGTCACTGAAGACCTCGCCAAGCTTGTTCTCAGAGCAGGATTGGATGCTTTATGAAAGAAATTCTTAGCCCTATCCGTTTTTTCTTTAGTCAGACTAGTGACTGAAAACAGTTCTCGTCTGTAGCCCGGTCTGATTGAGGGTGGGACCTGAGACTGAGATCTTAGCTGCTGCTTTCTACGCACCTTCATCTGCTAATAGCAAGACAGTACCAACGCCTTTCGCTAAGCCGGATGCTGATATACCGACATTTTAGACATACTTTAGTACCATACTTAACTAAAGCTATCTTACTTCCGAGTTGCCAAACAGACTACTTGGCCTCGCCTAATTCTAGAAAATTCCTACTGCCAAGATCAGGCTGAGTGGGATTCTAACCCAGTCACCCCAGGGTTCCTGAAATAGGGTTAAGAGGATGGAGATGGATGGGAGATTCTCACAAGAGCTGATGAAATGGGAGCTCCGATTCCTATTCACCGGGGCGATTTCCTTTCTATCACTAAGAGGATGGAGATGTATGTGATCACTAATGTTTTTTATCTTTAATTTTTGTTCTTGCTTTTATTTTAAAAACAAGTTTATTTTGTACATTTTTTGAATATTTTTATTTATTTATTTTCAAAAACAAATTAAATTATTTTTAAAAACACTCAAAATATTTAAAAATTATTATGAGTGTTTTAAAAAACGATTAAATATATTATAACATACCAAAGATGTTTTATTTAAAGTTAAAAAAACATAAAGAAAACAAAACTAAAATAAAAACTAAAATCAAAAAGTGATCCCAAATGACTCCTTAGGTTTTGATAAAGTAAATCTCATGTTTCTAAATACTTAAAAACATTCTGAAAACCCTAAACATTTAAATAAATCCATCCTCAAGTGGCTTAAAAATAATTTCGATGGTAAATCAAAGTTCTATTTCATTAAATCTGCCCACCACACATGGTTTTGGAGTGCCTTGCCACAACACCCACAGCTTATTCCAACTAAGAACAGAAAACAACACAGCCATGGTTAACAGACGAGAGTAAACCCTAGAGAAATACTTGAATCACCTCGGGTACCCTAAATCACGCAAGAAACACTCATTTCACACAACATCAAAAGTTCTTCGATAAAATGAGACAAATATACAGTCATAAAAAACCTATAATCGCACAGCCATCGTTGAGGCAGTAATTTATATGCCAGAGAGATGAACTCAATTGGATACGATTTTACCTTCCACCAACGCTAGAACAGAAAAATCTGAGCCACGCATTCTAATCCCTAACGATGGGAATTTAAATAGCAGGGGCTACGGTACAAAAGATCAAATATCCCGATGAACTCTGACCACCACGTGGCATGTTGCCTTGTAAATCGGGACCTAGCTATAGTAGCTCCACCCAAAATTTTCGGTTCATTTCTCCAACTATTGAGGGTGGTTGCGGGGTTCAGTACCCCGCCACATTAATGATTTTAAATGCGCCTATAGTAAAGTCACTAATAATAGATCTAAAAATAATATTACTCTCAGTAATTTCTTAGATTATGCAATAAAATTAAGTGGGTCAGGTCACATGATTTTTTTTTTTCATTTTGCCCTATTGAGTGTTATGCGTGTTAGAACATTCACGGCGGTTGCGTAATGTATTGTCGTCTTGGTGCTGCACGAGAATTATGCACACTCAGGTAAATGAAAAAAATAAGTAATGATACCAGAAATTTTTAGGTGGAAAACCCAACAATAAAAAAAAACTATGGGGTCTAGCTAGCTGAATTGACTGAATTTCTTTTTTTTTAAGCATAAAATAATTAAAAGGGCATACTGGGCGCATCTCTCAATTAGAATATGGGGCAGGTTTGTAGCATCACCAGTAAATAACACACTGTTTAATAACATGTTATAATTATGTTAAACCGGCCATGTATTTCATAGATTAACCCATCTAATACATAAAATTATTCCATATAATAATCGATTTCATTATGCACTACATTTCTAACACTTTAATTTTATTCATTAACCATAATTAATTTCACACATATATGTATTAAACACTATATTGAACTTCATTAATTTTATGCGACTCAAATTCTTTCGTAAGACTTTCAAAATAATATGCAAATATTCGTAAAATTTCAATGTTTATGTGTTACATAAATACTTAGTATTAACATATGTATTTTTATTCCTAAACAGAAATTGTTAGTATTTTGGGGGCTTACTAAAGTTCTAAAAAATGATTCTTATATTTTTTTTTAAAATAATTTTACTAAATATGAATAGTATTGTCTTTTTTTCATAAACAGCTGTACCAAACAAACAATCGGCTTCCCAGCAACAGCTTCTTGTCTCGTAAGAATTTTCTAAAGCAACGCAGCTGCAGTAGAGCCTATCATCACCACGTGGCATTTTGTATTGTATTACACGAGAATCTAGTTTTGATTGATGTTTGATTATTTGAGTAATACGTCATAACGGATTATCATTTTAGTATTACACGAGAATTTTGCACCTACCCTAAACCCTAAACAACCAGTGATGATACAAGATGTTTTTACCAATAAAACTTGTAAAGAAAAAAAATCATGAGGTCAGGTCTAATTGTAAAAATCTAGTTTTGATTGATGATTATAAAGACTCATTTTCCCATATATAGTAAAGAGTTACTATGTTTTCAAAGTTACAACGTCGACTCACGGCGTCCAGTAGATGTGGTCGATTGTGTTTAGAGAAGATCGACGGCGGTCGGCAGTAGTTAACGATGGTCGATGGAGATTGACGATAATAGTAGTCGGCGATCGGTGGTTGTCGACGGCCCTCGACAATGGTTAACGACGATCGGCTGCAATTGACGATGGTCAACGGAGGTCAGCGAGTGTCGTCGATTGTTGAGGATGGTCAAAGGCAATAAACGGCGGTTGATGACAACTAACATCAATCGAAGGTGATATGAGCGATGCCGGACTTCAGTTTCTTCTCAAAGTTTAAGTTCTCTTTAAACTCTCAAGCCCCACCCTTACGAGATGGGTGGAGCTATATTTATAACATTGTAGGTGCAATTAATAGAAAAATATGAAAACTTTAATCGGACAGTTCGGAAAGCTTCTTTCTATCAAATGACTTATGATGGATATTTTAGTATCATAACAATGTACAAATTGAGCAATCTTAGGCTCGTTGGATTCATCTTTCGAGACACTCAATTCAATTATAAACGTGCAAGATTTGACATTCATTTAACCTTCTAAATATGTCAAAAAAATTTCAAAGTGTAATTTAATGACTTGATCTGAGTTTGATTTCAATTGGAATGAATTAATTTTGGTAATATAAGGTTTTTTTTTAACGAGTCAATCATCTTGACTATAAGTTTGTCGAAATCGGAGCTCTAAATAAGTTTTTATTGATGTTCGAAATTTTTTTCTTAAAAAATTATCTAGAGATTCGTGTCATGCCTCGATATTTTTATCGGATGATGAAAATTTGTTGAAGGCATATCAAGTGGCATGTTTTCATTTAACACTATCATTGACGGATCTCAAATCCGGGATGTGAAAAACGAAAAATTACATTAGGTAATAGGCAACCAACACAAATGTTTGTCGATAAAATAATGATATGAATCTTTTAATATCTTAAGTTTAATATGACTTCATCAAATTCCAACATTGATTTTCAAAATAAGCATGATTATATATTTATTGGAGGAGATGAGCATGTTTGTAAATTTACTTATATTTTAATTAATTCAAATATTAATGAGCTGTTTGGGATCATTTTTAAATTTATTTATTCATTATTTTACACTTATATTTTTATATTTTGTTCTCCATTTTTATGAATAAAGACTACGCATAAGAGTGTGCAAATTATAGAGGAGTAAAGTTCATGATGTCATGCTTCAAAATTATGAGAGTAATTGAACATTGGTTAAGACGTGATTTAAAGTTTGTCATAATCAGTTTGAATTTATGTCGGGAATCCAAAAAGGTTTTTGCAAGTTTTCAAAAAAAGTTTTTGCAAGTTATCAGAGCCTAAAAGAGAGAGTAGCAGACTATGTTTCAACCCTAACGATATGAGTGACAAAAAAGGACTATGAGTGACAAAAGAGAACAGAGGCGAGGGTATATGTGAGGATAGGGAGTGAGATTACCGAAAATTAGGAGCAGCACATAAATGACACCTCGCAACAAAACTCTAGCCACGAAATACCCTCTACCCCTTCCATTTCAGACAATGAAACACTCGAAATAAAAGTGTTCCCAAATGCCACTTCTTCTTTTCTGCAATGCAAAAGACCTCAAAAATGGGGTCCCCAACCACCCACACCCTTTAGACTGAAAGAAAAATTTTATAAGACAGTGGTGAGACCTACAATGCTCTAGGATACAAAATGTTGGCCTTTGAAAGAGAAGCATAAAACTAAGTTAAGTTGCTAAGATGAGAATGCATAGGTGGATGAGTGGCTTGATAGTTACAGACAAAATATGAAATGAATATATTCATGATAAGATTAGTGTAGATTCAATGGCAAACAAGATTATGAAAAGCTTCCACCAACTGTTTTGGTGCCGATCGATTTGCATCACTCCTCCATACGAACTAAAAAAAAAAGTGCACGTAGCTCTTGATCTATTGGAGATGGCCAGCTAAGCATTTAATATCATATTGTCATTAACCGTCCCCCAAAGCACATCATCGTCCTCCGCCGACACTGCATATCCTCCATATTCGAGCTTGCACATTATATATATATATATATATATATATCTATGTGTGTGTGTGTGATCTATAACTTTATCTCATAGTTTATTTATCCTATATTTTGTCACCATGGTTGCCTCTCGTTAAGGAAATTCCCTAAGGATTTTTAAATTAAGTATAATACTATTTTTTTTATTCCAACATTAAACAAATCGAATAATAAATTTATGCACATTCAAAATTAAAATGTGATTTTGAGTCAAAGTGTAAAAATTCACTTATGGAATGAAATTATTTTAAAATATTTTATACAACTTTATATAAAAATAAATTCAAATATTTTAAAGTACTTTTTATATTAATATTTTTTAAATGAGTAGGTCATCCATTAAACGAGTTTAGTCATAGCTAACTTGAATTTTGCTCATTAGCTCTATATAAAATTGAGCCTCATGAGTCAGCTACTCAACGTGACTCTTAACTCTCAATAATACCCCTAAAATTGGTAAAACACTCTTAACTTAGCTTCTCCAAAAAGTATTATTATTTTAATTGACAATATGACATTTTTACTATTTTTTTAAAAAAAAGTTATCAAAAAAATACTTACATAAATATTATACAATTTTTTTTTTCAAAAAAAAAAAATTTATGATACTCAAACTAATTTTTAAATAACCAATTTCATTATAATATCTCCACTAATACTTCTAGAACCCCCTTGAATGAACTATTATCACGCATACAATAATCAACAATAATCAATAAACACATAATTTTTTTTTTAAAAAAAATGAAGGGTTTTTAATGAAAATGCTTCAAATTAAGATTGACATTTAGTTGAAACGATGGACATAATAGAACAAAATTAAAACTCATTAAAATTTATCATTTCATAATCTCCACTTTGTTACTAACAGCATAAATAATTTATGCACATTTATTATTCATTTTTATCTTTTCAATAGGAATATCCAACACATCATATTATGTATCCAATACGGCATAAATTCAACATAAAACATAGGCTGTCCAAAGGAAACATAATATTATGATAAGCCATAGTGACCGTCCAGTCATCCAAATTACTTAATATTGCGAATATAGGAAGAATACTCGCAGAAAGCAGCTTTAGTTACTATGTTTCTATAACATATAAATATATAAACATATAATCATATATATACGGACACAAAGCATGGTGACACTAATAAGGACTTGGTATTAATAAGTGACTGAAGCCATTGTTGCTCTGCAAGTACTCCTTGAATGCTATGCCGCCTGCATTCACGAAATCCGAATAACTCATCTCTTTTGACAAATAATATACAAGATAAGCTTCCGTAAATGAAAGAAAGGGATGGTACCCACTAACCTCACATGTCACAGGCCCTGTTCGCTTCTGCATCAGCTTCAGTATTGTATTCCTAAATGAATAAAAAACATAAGAACCAAGTAACAAGTTTTTTTTTTACATATAAATCTAAAGGCGCCAAACCGCAAAGCCGGCAAGATGAGTACAGTGTGAGGAGACCATGACTCCTTGTTGAAATATAAACTTGATTTAAGTTGTTTAAATAAGCTTAATTTCTAGAAACTTATTCTAGAATATATGGTAGATATGAAATTATTATGTGGTAGGTGTAGTATGTGTGGTAGGTGTGTAATTATTGTGTGGTAGATGTGAAATTATTTGTAACAATTGGATTGGAATTGTGGTGGGACAATCCTAACCATTAATTTAGGATGTGTCACTATTATAAATAGGAGTAGAGTCTTTGAGTATGTATCAAGTCAAGTAAATGTGATAAATAAGCGTGAAGCTTCTTCCATAAGTTTTTTTTTAGCCTTTATCATATCCAAAAAGCTTCTCAATTCCAACAAAGTGATATCAGAGCCTAAAGGTTCCTTTATAGAGCAATGACAAACGGTGACATGGTTTCGTTCCAAGTCGTTCCAGGTTTCGTTCCAAGTCCCGATGCTTAAGGAAAGCATTTACGACAATTGGAGTATCAAGATGAAGGCACTCCTTGAAGCGCATGACGTTCGGGATGTTATGGAGAAAGGCTACAATGAGCTAAGCGACGAATCCACTCTATCCACAACACAAAATGATAGCTTAAGAGACTTGCCAAAGAGAGATAAGAAAACTCTCTTCCTCATCTATCAAGCTTTAGATCAAAATGGTTTTGAGAAGATCTCAAGTGCTACTTCGGCCAAACTAGCATGGAAGAAGCTCGAGGTTCGTATAAGGGAGAAGAGAAGGTTGAAAAGATATGACTTCAAACTTTAAGAAACCAATTTGATGTTTTGCATATGAAAGAAGGCGGGTTGGTCTCTGATTACTTTGCTAGAGTCATTATCATTTCCAATCAACTAAAAAGAAATGGTGAGAAGTTAGAAGATGTGACTATCATGGAAAAGATTCTTCGATCGTTAGATTCAAAATTTGATAGTATCACAACCATTATCGAAGAGACAAATGACTTACAAGCCATGTCGATAGAGCAACTTTCGGGTTCATTGCAAACCCATGAAGAAAAGAAGAAGATGAATGAAGAGGTTTCCGAACAACTTCTCAAGACGAATCTCCAATTAACTCAGAAAGATGAAAACATCAACATTAGAAGCCAACATGGAGAAAGAAGAAAGATCTACAAGAGGACGTGGTAGAGGGCGCTCAAACTCGAGGTATAATAAATCTCAAATTAAGTGTTATAATTGTAACAAGTTCGAGTATTATGCGAAAGAATGTAGAGCACCTAAGTACAAAGTTAATGAAAGAGTCAACTACATAGAAGAAAAAAGAGAAGAAGATGACACTACTTCTAGCATATAAGAACAATGAAAGAGTTGAAGATAGTACATGGTACCTGGACACCGGTGCAAACAACCATATGTGTGGGAGATGAACCATGTTCGTAGAGCTTGACGAACCAGTAAGCGACAATGTGTCTTTTGGAGAAGAGTCTAAGATAGAGGTGAAAGACAAATGTAACATTCTCATCCGTCAAAAAAATGAGAAGCATTAATTTATTTCTAATGTTTACTTTGTGCCGAATATGAAAAACAACATCTTGAGTTTAGTACAACTCTTGGAGAAAGGATATGATATTCACTTGAAAGAAAATACTCTCTTCTTAAAAAACAATATTGGTAACTTGATTGCTAAGGTGTCAATGTCTAAAAATGGAATGTTCTCACTCAACATTCAAAACGATGTTGTCAAATGTCTGAAGATTTGTTATAAAGATGCTTCTTGGCTCTAACATCTTTGATTTGGGCATCTCAACTTCGGAGGACTCGATTTGCTTTCGAAGAAAGAGATGGTGGAGTCAAGTTCAAGAGCCCAAAAGCCTCTTGGGCTCATACATACAGATGTTTGTGGTCCAATAAAGCCAAACTCACTCGGTAGGAGCAACTATTTTTTTCTCTTCATAGATGATTTTTCACGAAAAACATGGGTGTATTTTTTTTAAAAAAAAATCAGAGGTTTTTGGAATATTCAAGAAGTTTAAGGCAGATGTAGAGAAAGAAAGTGATCTCAAGATCAAAGCTATGCAATCTGATCGAGGAGGAGAATTCACTTCAAAAGAATTTCAAAAATTTTATGAAGCCAACGAAATACGTCCACTTCTAACTGTTCCAAGATCCCCCCAACAAAATAGAGTAACAGAAAGGAAGAATAGAAACATCCTCAACATGACAAGAAACATGTTAAAAAGCAAGAGATTGCCGAAGGAGTTTTGGGCAGAAGCGGTTGCATGTACTGTTTATTTGGCTAACCGATCACCAACAAGAAGTGTGTTGGGAAATGCACCACAAGAAGCATGGAGTGGAAGGAAGTCCGACATGACATCTCTCATCTACGAGTTTTTAGATGCCCGACGAGAAAAGAAGTAAGCTAGTGATTGTCTTCCTTGTATTTGAATTGTATAGTTTGTAGCCTTTCGAGTTGTTGTCGTAACCAAAAGAAAAATAAAACCATCCTCAACATGATAAGGAGCATATTAAAAAGCAAGAGATTGCCGAAGGAGTTTTGAGCTGAAGCGGTTGCATGTACTGTTTATTTGGCTAATCGATCACCAACAAGAAGTGTGTTGGGAAATGCACCACAAGAAGCATGGAGTGGAAGGAAGTCCGACATCTCTTATCTACGAGTTTTTGGATACATAACTCATGTACACATACCCGACGAGAAAAGAAGTAAGCTGGATGACAAGAGCGAGATATTCATTTTCATTGGTTACGACAACAACTCGAAAGTCTACAAGTTATACAATCCAAATACAATAAAGACAACCACCAGCAGAGATATCATATTCGATGAATGAAGAGAATGAGACTGGGGACTACATGATGAATGCTACAACTTTTTCTCATACTTTCAAGAAAAAGACGTAGAGCAGCCAAGGATCGAGCAAACAAGAGAAGAGCAAACAAGAGAACAAACAAGAGAAGAGTCTACTACTCCACAAACAACATTGACTACAAGTAATCAAAGCAACTCATCGTCATCAACTTCAAGTGAAAATTCAAGTAAAAGAGTAGCATGCTTCAGAGGATTAGAAGATCTTTATGAGGTAATTATGAATCAAGATAATCTTACTCTTTTTTGTCTCTTTGTCGACTGTGAACCCATAGACTTCCAAGAAGTCATACAAAGCAAGAAGTGGAAAGATGGAATGGAAGAAGAAATCAAGACAATTGTGAAGAACGACACATGGGAGCTAACTTCACTTCCTAAAGGACATAAGACAATTGATGTGAAGTGAGTGTACAAAGCAAAGAAGAATTTCAAAAGAGAGATTGAAAGATACAAGACAAGATTGGTAGCAAAAGGCTACAGTCAAAGAGCAGACATCGACTATGATAAGATATTTGCCCCTGTTGCTCAATTAGAAACTATTAGACTAATCATCTCTTTGACAGCTCAAAATAAGTGGAGAATACATCAAATATATGTAAAATCTACCTTCTTGAATGAAATACTTGAAAAAAAAATCTATTGTTCAAAATGACAGATATTTGGCTCATGACATTCTACCTTGGCATTGAAGTCAAACAAACGGAAGATGGGATATTCATCTCTCAAAAATATTATACAAGAGAGATATTGAAGAAATTCAAGATGGTTTCTTCAAGATGGAGAATAGCCAACCTATAAAAACCCCTATAGAATGTGGAGTCAAGCTATCACAGTTTGATGAGGGAAAAAAAATTGATCAAACGTTTTTCAAGAGTTTGGTTGGAAGTTTACGCTACTTGACATGCACAAAACCAGATATTTTTTATGCTGTTGGATTTGTCAGTCACTAGATGGAGACTCCGACTATTACCCACCTGAAGACCGCTAAACGAATTATGCGCTATATCAAAGGTACAATTGATTTTGGTTTATTTTACTCATCATCCAGCAATTTCAAGCATGTAGGATATAGCGACAGTGATTGGGCTGGAGACATTGATGATAGAAAGAACACTACATGGTTCGTGTTCTTCATAGGAGGCATTGCTTTCACTTGGATGTCAAAGAAACAATCAATTGTCACTCTTTCTACTTGCGAAGCAGAGTACGTGGCTGTAACCTCATGTATTTGTCATGCAATTTGACTTCAAAACCTATTAAAGGAGTTAAGTTTTTCACAAGAATAGGCGATCAATATTTATATCGATAACAAGTCTGCAATCGCGCTAGCAAAGAATCCAGTTTTTCACGATAGAAGCAAGCACATTGATATGTGTTATCATTACATCAGAGAATGCATCGAAAAAAAGAAGATAAAAATATCGTACGTGAAGTCTCGAGATCAAGTTGATATTTTTACCAAGTCACTCAAGAGTGAAAACTTTATTAAAATGAGAAGTTTGTTTGGAGTCACAAAATCAAGTTTAAGAGGGGGTGTTGAAATATAAAGTTGGTTTTAATTGTTTAAATAAGCTTAAATTCTAGAAGCTTACTCTAGAATATGTGGTAGGTATGAAATTATTGTGTGGCAGGTGTAATAGGTGTGGTAGGTGTGGAATTATTGTGTGGTAGGTGTGGAATTAGTTGTAACCATTGGATTGAAATTGTGGTGGCACAATCCTAGCAATTAATTTAGGAGGTGTCACTAGTATAAATAGGGGTGAAGTATTTGAGTTTGTGTTAAGCCAAGTAAATGTGATAAATAAGAGTGAAACTTCTTCAATAATTTTTTTTTAGCCTTTGTCATATCCTAAAAGTTTTTCCATTCCAACACTCCACACATGGTTAAAGTGATTGATTACTCGATTATCAGATAACTACTCCACTAAATATAATAGATTGCTAGCTGCATAATAATTCATCAATCAACTGCCCAAATAATCAAATATAAAATTAGTTATTTAACAGATTGACTGATTATAAACTAATGCATAATTAAACACATCTAAAAATGTATTTACATTACCAAAATAAGGAAAATATAACACAACTTAAAACTATAAAGAAAATATTCCAAGAGAAAGAAAGAAGTTGAAGAATCTAACCCTTGGAACATGGCTGATCTCAAATCTGTTCAACCCACTGATCTGTTCAGCAACCCTTTTGTAAGGTTCATACAAATTTTCGCTTCTGACTTTCCAACTTCCATCAACCTGTAATCCAACACCAATAGCCAGTAACATATCTAACACGAAAACTTCAATTTTTACGTATATGCACATTACCTTGCATGAAATAGTGCATTCGCAACTTAAATGTTAAAATGGTGGTATTTTTTACATGATATGAAAGATTTATTATAAATGCAAAAAGTAAAATTTAGGAGTTAGATATGTAAATACATAAGAATTAGGCGGGTACGTAAATATTTCTTTCTTAAAAAAGAATGGATGAGTTCTTAAATAATACATAAAGTGGTAGTTGCAGGTAAAGAACTAACAAAAAAACTTGTATTTAGATTACCATAAGGGCACGATTGAAATTTTAATTCCTAACATTATGCTAAAGATCACCAAATAAGAACATTCATAGGAGGAAGGAGCAATTTACTTCAAATAAAACTAACAGTAGCTTTAGGCAACAATAATGCCACCCTCCTAACAGAAAGAATGTGCAATAAATGTAAATATAAAGTGAAATATACCATTTCATGGATAAATTTATGACATCAAAGTGTTATAAATGTAAATATGAAAGTTTTGGAGACATATATGTAAATACATAGAATTGTGTGGAATGTACGTAAATTTCGTAAAATTTAATTATGGATATCAGTAATGTAAATTGCCTACGATAACAGAAATCTAAATGCATCAGACTCAAAACCATACATTAGTGAGCTTCTTATTTTTATATATACCGTATAGGCTTCAAAATATATACATTAAACTATACATTAGGTCTAACAGTGACAGCATCAGCAAATCACTGAACTTTAAATGTATAAAAAAACAACATAAACTACTGAAAATTTGTGAGGTAACTCAAGTTTACATCAATGCCACTAAAATAATTGACATTAAATAAAAAATACCACTACTGCTAACTTTTTAAAAGTGAAATACACATTTTCAAGCATAAGTTTTACCGCCAAATTGTTACAAATGTAAATATCAAACTTTAGGTGTTAGATATGAAAATACATAGAAATTGGGTGGCATATATCTAAATGCCCCAACAAAATAAACCATATAGATGATAACTGACAGCAAGGAAATTGAACATTTAACCTGCTTACAGACAAGCTTTGAATCACCAATTGCACGAATATCATTGTAGCCCATTTCAATAGCTTTACTAACTCCTAGACTCAAGCCCTCATACTCAGCACGATTATTAGTAGTATAACTCAGAGACTCGTGCACGCGAGCAACCTTCAACAAATAGAAGTGAAATTCAAAAATAGTGCGCAACACATCATAACATCATAAACATATATCCCCATCGCATTCTCTTAAGAGTTAAAATTTAAGTAAATATTCACCACATCTCCACTAGAATTGCGTATCACAGCTCCAGCGCCTCCTTTCCCAGGATTTCCTTTGCAAGCACCATCAAACTCAACAGTGCAGGATTTGGACATTCTTTGAAAGTTTTATGAGAATATTTAGAATAATGATTATTAAAGATAAATGAAAAGGTTACATATTGCAAAGATGATAAAGATTGAATAAGCCTAAATTCTTTACAAAGCTTCAAGTACGAAAATTTAAGGAAATAAAGCAATATGTTAACCTCGAATTGTGTAATTACAAAATTATATGTAGTTTTGGCATATTCACATTTATTCAATTGCAAGCTTCTACTAAAAACAAAGAGTGGGAACTATTGATGGCAACATTATTTATAACAGAAATTTACAAACATAGCACACAATTCTTATGTACCTACGTATTTAACACCCAGCGTTTGATATATACACTTATAACAGTTTGGTGTATAAATCTATGCATGAAAAGGTGTATTGCACTTTTAAAATTCTGATATGATGTTAAAGATTGGAGTAGTCTGCATGTGAATATGAATGTTTAGGAGTAAGATATGTAAATACATACGAATTGTGTGCTAGGAATGTAAATGCCCTTATTTATAAAAAGCAATATGCCTCAAAGTTATTGAACAAAGCAAAAAACAAAGATTTTGATGTGTAATACATGACTAATCCATCAGCCCTTTGTATCGCACCCATATGAAAGTTGTTAGATATGACTCATATGCCAGATAAGGGACAAATGCTGGAGTGGAACGGAGCGAGCTAGCGGAGTGGAGCAGAAGCATTTGTCCAATCGAGGGAGTTTCATTAAGTGGTTTGCTAGTGCGGGGGCAACACCCTGCAATACCGTACAAGAGTATTTTTGTAATTTCATTAAGGGTTGTATTTATATATAATATTTGTAATCCTATGAGAACTATATTTTTTTTTCTAAAATTGTGAAATCGTCACTCTGCTCCCGAGGACATAGACACAAATTGCCAAACCGTTTAAATTTCCGTGTTCTTGATTTTCATTTTTCTTGTTCTTTGGATCTTCATTTCAAAAGCAAACCATTAAACCTAAGAACAAAAATAATTCCTAATTTATAGCAACTACTCTCATATTTTCCATTTGCAAAACTTATGCATGTACTAAATGGTGACAATTGAGTGTTCATAGTTGTTTCAGGCAGCTCTTTGGACGCATATGTTTCCCTGAAATTAATTCAGTTAAAGATTGTATGTGATCACTATTATTTTTTTATTCTTTATTTTTGTTTTTGCTTTTATTTCAAAACCATGTTTATTTTGTACATTTTTTAAATATTTTTATTCATTTATTTTTAAAGACAAATTAACTTGTTTTTAAAAACACTCAAAATATTTAAAAATTGTTGTTTTGAGTGTTTTAAAAAACAATTAACTATAGTCAAGATGCTTTATTTAAAGTAAAAATCATAAAGATAATAAAACTAAAATAAAAACTAAAATAAAAAGTGATCCCAAATGACTCCTTCGGTTTTCATAAAGTAAATCTCATGTTTCTAAATACTAAAAAAACATTCTGAAGGGGGTTGACATTTAAATAAATCCATCCTCAAGTGGCTTAAAAATAATTTCGATGGTAAAACAAAGTTCTATTTCATTAAATCTGCCCCAACAGCATACACTACACATGATTTTGAAGTGCCTTGCCACAAAAGCCATAGTTTATCCCAACTTAGAACAGAAAACAGCACAGCCATGGTTAATAGACAACAGAAAACCCTAGAGCACTACTTGAATCAGCTTGGGTACCCTAAATCACGCAAAAAAAACACCCACTTCAGACAACATCAAAAAAATGAGACAAATATACAAACATAAAAAACCTATAATCGCGCAGCCAGGATTCGTGGCTAATCCTGAAGCAAATACAAATACATCGGGTATCTAAACTCAAGCAAGAAGCACTCATTCGATGCAATAAAAATTTTCCCGACAAAAGAAGGACAAGATACAATTTTACCTTCGATCAACGCTAGAAATGAAAAATCTGAGCCGCGCATTCTAAGCCGTACAGATAGGAATTTAAGTAGTCGGGGCTACGTTACAGAAGTGCATATCTCCAGATGGACTATGATCACCACGTGGCTTGTTGCCTTGTAAATCGCGACCGTCAATAAGTTCTGAGTGCCAATAATTGCCCCGTGAAACTATAGTGCCGTCATAAAGCCGCTCCACCTAAAATTTTCTGTTCATTTCTACTGTCGTGCATGATTGTGGGGTCCCTTGCCCCGCTACCAACAGATTTTAAGTGCGCGTATAGTGAAGTCAATAATGATGGATCTAAGAACAAAAAAAATTTCTTAGGTGATACATCAAAATTAAGTGGGTTCGGCTAAATAATTTTTTTTTCTCCATTATGCCCTATGGAGTGCGGTGTAAAATAATGGATTATCATTTTAACATTATACGAGAATTTCACACACACTCAAGTAAATAAAAATAGTTAGTGATGAGACAAGAAATACTTCCGTATAAAACCCGTAAAAAAAAATCATGGGGTCTAACCCATTTGTAAAAATTTATTATAGATTGATGATTATAGAGACTCATTTTCCCACAGATAGGAAAGTGTTACTAGGTTTTTCGAGTTACAACGTCGACTCATGGCGTCTGGTATGTGCGGTCGATTGTGTTTAGAGATGATCAACGACGGTCGGTGGTAGTCAATGATGATCGACAGTGATTGACGACAATAGAAGTCGGTGGTCAGTAGTTGTCGACGGATGTCGACGATCGACAGTAGTTGGGGATGGTCAAGGGAGGTCGGTGAGTGTCGATGATTGTCGGTAGTGGTCAAAGGCAATTAATGGCGGTCGATGACGGCCAACAGCGATCGACGGGGACAAGGGTGATGCTGGACTTCAGTTCATTCACAAAGCTTAAGTTTTCTCTCAACTTTCAAGCCTCTTCCTCAAGAGAGGGTGGAGCTATATTTATAATATTTTAAGTGCAATTAATGCAAAAATATGAACAACTTTGATCAGACCGTTTGGAGAGCTTCCTTTCATTAAACAACATTTGATAAACATTTGAGTACCTTAATAATGTCTAAATTGAGCAATCTTGGACTCGTTGGATTCTTCCTTTCGAGACGCTCAATTCGACTATAGGCTTGCATGATTTTACATTCATTTAGCTTTTTAAATTTGTCTGAAAAACTTCAAAGTGTGATTTAACGACTTGATCTGAGCTTGATTTAAATTGGATTGGATTAATTTGGTAACATTAGGTTTTTTTGTCGAGTCAATGACCTTGACTATAAGTTAATTGAAATCAGAGCTCTGGAAAAATTTTTATTGATGTTTGAAAATTTCTTACACAAAAAATTATCTAGAGATTCGTGTCATGCCTCGATATTCGTGTCAGATGATGAAAATTTGTTGATGGCATATCAAGTGTCATATTTTCATTTAACACTATCATCCATGGATATAAAATCCCGTATGCAAAAAACGAAGGATTACGTTAGGTAATAGACAACCAGCATAAATGTTTGTCAATAAAATCATGACATGAGCCTTTCAATATCTTAAGTTTAAGATGACTCCATCAAATTCTAACATTGCTTTTCAAAATAAGCATGATTATGTATTTATTGGAGGAGATGAGCATGTTTGTAAGTTTATTTATATTTTAATTAATTCAAATATTAATGAGCTGTTTGGGATCATTTTTAAATTTATTTATTCATTATTTTACACTTATATTTTTATATTTTGTTCTCCCCATTTTTATGAATAAAGACTATGCACAAGAGCGTGCAAATTATAGAGGAGTTAAGTTGATGATGTCATGCTTCAAAATTATGAGAGTAATTGAGCATTGGTTAAGACATGATTTAAAGATTGTCATAATCAGTTTGAATTTATGTCGGGAATCCAAAAAAGTTTTTGCAAGTTATCAGAGCCTAAAAGAGAGAGTAGCAGACTATGTTTCAACCCTAACGATATGAGTGACAAAAAAGGACAGAGGTGAGGGTATATGCGAGGATAGGGAGTGGGATTACCGAAAATCAGAAGGAGCAGCACATAAATGACACCTCGCAACAAAGCTCTAGCCACGAAATACCCTCTACCCCTTCCATTTCAGACAATGAAACACTCGAAATAAAAGTGTTCCCAAATGCCACTTCTTCTTTTCTGCAATGCAAAAGACCTCAAAAATGGGGTCCCCAACCACCCTTTAGATTGAAAGAAAAATTTTGTAAGGTAGTGGTGAGACCTGCAATGCTCTATGACACAGAATGTTGGCCTTTGATAGAGAAGCATTAAGCAAAGTTTTGCTAAGATGAGAATGCTTAGGTGGATGAGTGACTTGATAGTTCGAGAGAAAATGTGAAATGAATATATTCATGATAAGGTTGATGTAACTTCAGTGGCAAACAAGATTATGGAGAATCATCTTAAATGGTTTGATCATATTAAATATTGACCATGTGATGATCTGGTTAGGAGAGTAGATATTTTAGATTGAGCTACGTTAAGAAAGATAGAAGTAGATCTAAGAAAACTTAGGCATATTATAAAAAAAAATGATCTTAATCTCTTAGAAATAAATGAAAATAAGACACTCAATAGAATGTGATGAAAAAAAAAGGATTCATATATCCGACCCCATTTAGTGAGATAAAGGTTTGTTGTTGTTGTTGTATATATACTTATATTTAAAAATATTCAAAAACTTTTTAGAAGTTTAGAATATTTTTTAAAATTATACTAATCAAATATATTTCAAAAAACAAAAACAAAAATAGAATACAAAAGTGATGTGAAAGATGTCCTAAATTTCTAAGTGATTTGTTGTAGCTTTTATGCAATCATCTCACAATTAATCACTCAAAACTTTTTAGATGTTTAGAATATATAGACATTACTCGAGGGATGAACTAGATGGCGGAGCTAAAGCAGCATGACTTCTCAAAATTGGGGGTTTTACAGACATATCACTCAAAACTTATCCATTTACATATTTCACATCCAAACTTGTATGTTTACAGAAAAAGCATTTTACCTAACTTCTCGTGGAAGCTTCCATCAAGGACTCGTGCCTAAATCCTGTCGGCGAAGTTCGCCGTCAAACTTGTCGTTCTCCCCACCGGCAGGCAGCAGCCACCTCGCCATTCTTTCAACCTCTTCCACTAAAGATAGAACATGCTATTTGGCATGGCATGTCGTTCCCGCCGCTGAGAGAATCACTCTGGAACAGGAGTTCCCCAAGTGAATCATGCAGATAAGTGGGAAACATAATATTCCGTTTTCTTTTAGAATATAAAACGAATTACAATTAAATATTAACTATCTTTACTTTTCTTTTAGAATTAAAACGAATTACAATTTATCATTTCACAATCTCTATTTTTTAATTCATCACACACATAATTTATACACCTTTTTATTATTTTATTATTATTTTAATAGGACGCTATTTAAAAAAAAAAATCGACGCATATCATATTAGTTATCAAATTCTGCATAACGAAAATTAAAAAAAAAAAAGGTTGACCAAAGGGAAACATAATATTACGAATAAGCCATAGTATCAACACCATCCATAAGGCACCAATTTACTTAATATTGCTAATATAGCAGTTATAGGAAGACTCGCAGAAAGCAGCTTTAGTTAATATGTTCCGTAAAACATATATAACACAGAGCATAGTGAGACTAATAAGGACTTGGTATTAATAAGTGACTGCTGCCATTGTTTGTACTCCATGAACGCTTTGCCATCTGCATTTACAAAATCCCAATAGCTTATCTATGCTGATAAAAATCATAAAACATAACATCTAAAGTATGCTTTTTATATTTTATACAACATCAAAAATATCAATTTTTTAATTTTTAAAAAGTGAAATGCACCTTTTTTTTTCATGCATACAAAGAGATGTATACATGTAAATCTTTAATTTTGAAAAAAAAATAATTTGAGGCAACTTCTTAAAGCATCATCACTTTTTTTTTTTGTTTGAAAAAAACTGGTGAAAATATTTTTTTAGCATTAAAATTTGTTAGAATGCAAGAAGATTTATACAACTTTCCCCAAAGAAAAAAAAATACCTATAATACCCTCTTTACAAACTCCAAAAATATCTATTTTTCTCTAGAGTAATTATGGATTCCTATTAAAACTAATTTCAAACCGACCCAAACGGTGGTGTGTAAAAATAATGTGAAAAATAAATTCCCAGAACAAACAAACAACAAAACACAATGCGGAAAATAAATTCACATGGCAAATAAACAGCTTACGTGGTTCAGCATGAATCCGCCTACTTCTATAAGAAACATTTTTCCACTATCAACATGTGGGGAGAAAAGGAAAAATCGGCCGAATTAAGATTACAACTCAACTTCTCCAAATTCTCCTTATTCTCTCATATAAATAAGAGATAACTAGAGTATATAAATTATAAATATTTTAGATATAGGACAAATATGATTCATGATATAAAAAGGACATATAATTAGATTTCCCCAAATTAAGTTATCTAATATCAATCTTCCTAATGTACATATTTCTAATTTACAACCATTAGATTTTGATATTTTTCATAACACTCTCTAGCTCATCTCTCACTTTCAAATATGTGAGAGATGAGAAAAATGAGCTACAACACGACAACGACTGCTCCAAGTTGATTGCATGCATACCCCTCTCCTGAAGAGATCAAGTCTTAGGTATTTATTCAAAAAACCCAAATGGTCAATCAATCATAAACTCGATATTCACCAAACTTTTACAGTATATGAACTTTTGAACTGGAAATACCTTTGTGAGCATGTTTGTTTGATTCTCATTTGTGTCCATCTTCTTCAACAGAATATTATCATCCTCAATCAAATCCCTATAGTATACGACCTCTGAGCCGGAAGTACCTTTGTGAGCATGTCCGTTTGATTCTTTTTCATGTCTACCATCTTCAATAGAATATTAGCATCATCAATCAAGTCCCGAAAAAAGTGATCTCACCTGAAAGTGCTTAACACAACCATGATTAACTGGATTGGTAACCAAGGATATCGCACCTTGACTATCACAGAATACCGTTAGAGACTAGTGATTAACTCCCAAATCATCTAATAGACCTTGCATATGGGTCTCTATAACATATAAAGTAATAGTAAACTGAAGAAACAATCTCCAACTGACAGAAACTTCTGTAACTGTGAATAAATAATCTGTACTAGAAAATGCTAATGAAAATCTTCTTTTTTGCCTGATTATAAAGTTTGAAGCCACTGAATCCACGTATGAAACCAATAAAAATCAAATTCCTTCTTCGTAGTTTCAATTTATCATTTTGTGCATCGTAGTAAACTGGACACATTTCCTTTGAATTTTTCTTTTCAATAGTTGCAGAAGATAGACAGTTCATCAAGTGACAAACATAGTCAACGACCTCAACCTAATAAACTTTATCCAACCGAGCAATGGACAACATAAAGTCTCGTCGTCTGCGGTGTCTCTAGATTAGTAAAGTAGTGTTCCATCTCAACTCTCTAGCACTTGCAAGAACACATTTGATGAATGTGTATTCACCAAATTGTCTGATACGATAGACTAAATCTTTATTATCAATCTAAGCCTCAATTCACTTCTTCCAAATTATAAAAATCTCCAACACTTTGTTCGTACACTTCATGGTGCATGCTCAAACATACCTAGGGCAATAATTGATAAAAGAGAAAAAATAACTTCATTTATCAAATATTGTTGTCTTCTTTGGGCCCCAAAAATCTATCTGAACATACTCTACAATATTTTATGTACAGTAGATTATGGCATCAAAAGACACATGTGTTTTCTTATCAAACACACAACATTCACAAAAGCAAGCTTGCAGATACTTTGCTCATCTGATCAGTCCTTAATGTAACAAAACCTAAATTGAATCCTCTCCACCATGAGCTAATCATATATACAATAATGTGGTGACATCAAAAGAATCATCAACAACAGTCGCAATTTTAGTCATTGTATTACCCTGAAGTAAAAGTTGTGATGACGATCTCACTTCATAAAAATCATTGTTTCACAACATACCCTAAAAAATTCTGACCTCAATAACTACCATGTAGCCCTTAGCCTCTACAGCCCCAACTGATAGTAAATTCTTCTTGATTTGTGAAACATACCAATATCAGCCAGTTTCCTCACATTATGATCATGTATCCTGATAAAGGCATTGTCTACATCAATTGTACGATAAATTTAAGGGGTACACATACTCACTGCACTACAATCCAATTTTTTTGTACCATATAGAACCAACTATGCCCATGAAACTTATACTATTTTGAAAAGCATGGTCTCTGCCACCTCTATTTGCCCAATTCTTCTTCTTATCAGATCTACACATTTGAGTGTAAGTGTCTTAGCCAACTCCATGTTTGCGGACGTTACATATAGAGATAATTCTCCACACTTTTCGTGAGATATTTGTTCTCCACCGTTCACTAGAATTTTCATGTAGAAATCGCCATTGTCACCGCATATTTGATCTCCTAAGACAAGCATTTTTGGATCAAGCCACAAACACTTCGATTCATATCCAACAAGCCTCTTTCAGATCTCTCTGGAATGTTAATCATTATCAACAACTTCCTCCATATTCAAAAAACACAATGCATTGTTACAGGCCAAAGTTTTCTATGTCGTCAAATTCCGTTACCTTGATTTTTAACGAAATGAATAACCACCTGAAGAATCTCACCTTTTCCACCATCATGATGGACGTTGAAGTATCTGTTGACATGTTATTATACATGGCTCCACTAGGTCTTGTAGCTTAGTTTACTTCAATCTCTGTCTCGCGTTCATGACTTAGCCGAAATCGCAGCATTGCCCGTAACTAGAATCATCGATCCGGCTTTGATATTAATTGTTGTGCAAAAGAATGTGAAAAATAAATTCACACTACAAACAACCAAACACAGTGTAACTTACGTAATTCAGAACAAACATGCCTACGTCCACATTAAGAGGTTCAACTATAAGCAGGTGGGGATAAAAAAAAAATTGATCAAATTAGAGTGACAACTCAACACTCTCAAATCCTCCACAATTTCTCATATAAATAGAAGAAGATTAAGATATATAAATTAAAAAATAAAATCAAATATTCGAAAGATTAATTTTAGATCTCATTAAATTAAGTTTTTAATATATAAAGATCATATAATAAGAAGCTTTTCCCACAATAATTTAGTATTTGATTTTACAAATTAACTAAACCACCCCAAATAGATCATTAGCAACATTCAGCTTTTCCACTTTTTCAAATCAACAAAAAAAATTATGATGAAAAAAAGAAAAAATTACGTAAATACGACATAATTCCTATGAAGTTACATTTCTAACATCGAAAATTTTAATATTGATATTTATGGCACTTCACGTCATAACCCATGCAAAGATGCATCACTTTTACAAAGTAAATGGTGATATAATTCATGTAATATTAAAGATTTGAGTGTTATGCATGTAAATATTAAAATTTGAGAGTTAGATATGCGCAAACAAATGTAAATGAATGGGCGCCAGCCAACTAACCTCACATGTTAGCGGCCTGATTTGCTTCTGCATCAGCTTCAGTATTGCAGTTCTAAAAGCATTGAAAAATAAGAAAATTAAAAACAAAAAAACATAAGAACGGGGTAACATTTTGTTTTGTATAAAGTTAATTTTTCTTCTTCCTTTCTATTTTTATTTTTATTTTTATTTTTATTTTTTGGCCGCAGGTGAAAGACATGAAATATCTCAAGCTCCCTTAATATTTTTATTTTTATTTTTAATAAGGATAAATTATGGCAAAAGACACCAAATACAAAGCATTTATAAAGTGATTAGTCAATTGTCAATCAACTACAACACTAAATATAATAAATGGTTGTTAACTACATAGTAATATGCTCATTTGTCAGGTACTGATTGGTTTGGCTGCAACCCATTCACATCTTCCACATCATCTTCGTCTACACCTAATAATTTCAGCATAAGAAATGATATTCGACCCTCATATAATCATTCGTAGAAACGTTATTGAAACTTTAAAAGATTAAGTAAAATATAAGAAATTTAAAACTAGAAAGAAACAATTCTCAAAGAAGGAAAAAGTTTAAAGTTCCTTACCCTGGGAACGTGTTGGATCTCAAAACGGTCCAGCATTTCGATCAGAACAAAAGCCCTTTCGTAATATTCATATAAATTCCTGCTTCGGACTCTCCAACTTCCATTAACCTGTAATCGATCATCAATCGTTAGTTAGGAAATTCGGAATCCTGATGGAAGCTACAACAATGGTGAGAATAAAATTATCCAGGGAAACAAAAAAGGCTAGTATGTAAATGTCAAAAATATATAAATTAAACTAGAGTTGCATCAACCTTTCCATTTATTAAAATGTCATAAAGTTCAATCTTTAAAAAAAAATAAAAAATAAAAAAGATGAGTTTTAAGATTGAAAGATATATACATACATACCACTCAATTCCTAAGTATTTACACATCTAATTGGGGTTGTAAACGAGCTGAGCTTGAACGAGCTCAGGCTTGGCTTGTGTCCGGCTCGTTTGAAATTGCTTGTGTTTGAAATTAGCATGTGAACAATGTGTTAGTGTTCGGTTCTGAATTGGCTCATTAAAATTAATTAGAAAAAATAGATATAGGGTGTTGAATTCAAACCTGCACCAATTATGTGCAATAGAAAACGCAAAATCACATGATCACATGAGCTGTTATGATTTAAATTTAGGTAAAAATATATATAACCTTTTTATTCCGAGCTAAAATGAGTTGAATACGAGTGAACAAAAGGTTGTTCGTGTTCGACTCGTTTATAATTCGAGCTTAAAAAATTTGTTTTTATCCAGCTTGTTTAATGAAATTAAGGCTTTGTTGTTATTTTTGTTGTTTTGTTCGGCTCGTCTACTTGTTTAACGAGCCAAACACAAGTTGTTCTCGAACATTGAATTTTTTTGACATTCCTACATCTAACACCAAAATTTCAATTTTTACATGCATTTCACCTTAATTATACGTGAAAAATGTGTATTTCGCTTTTTAAAGTTATCATAGTGATATTTTTTATGTGAAATAAAAGATTTGGGTGGTATAAATGTAAAAAAGATAAAGTTTAGGTGCTAAATATGTAAGTTCAGAGGGATTGGGTGATATGCATGTAAATGCCCCTTTAGGATAATACATAGTAGCCGTTGCAGGTGAAGAACCAACAAAGAAAAAAAAAAACTTTTGTAGAAAAACGTTATGAATTGAACTTTTAATTCATAACGCAGGCTCAGATCACAGATAAGAACATTCATAGGAGGCAAGATCAATTTCCTTCAAATAAAAGAAAATGTAGCTACGGGCAACAATAATGCCATCCTCCTATCAGAAAGAATGTATTATATATGTAAATGCATGAGATTTGTGAGATATGTATGTAATTTCTCATACATGCCACACTATTCTCATGCATTTACATATGTAACACCTAAACGTTCATATTTAGGTAAAATTTTTGACATCATAAAAAATACCACTATTACTTGCATTTTAAAAGTAAAATACATTTCATGCATAGATTTATGCGTCCTAAATGTAAATATGAAAGTTTTTTTAGTTATGTTCATACATAAAAATTGTGGCATGCATGTAAATTTCAAAGAACGTTGCATTGCCAGGTCTCAAAGCCCGGACGTGAAAAGTGAAGGGTTGTGTTAATTAATCGACAACAGTGAAATTTGTCGGAAAATCATGATGTGAATCATTTAAATGTTAGGGTGTCTCCTTGAAGCGACGCGTCGTATAGCAAGAATATAGTGAACAGAGTGCGCGAGTCACTACACCTACGCCTGGGTATAGTGTCAAATAAGCATTTACATACGTAATTTCCCAAACATGACACAATGCTTATGCATTTATATATATAACACCTAAACTTTCATATTTAGGTACATAACACTGAAATTTTTCATATTACATAAAAAAATTTCACTATTACTTGCATTTTAAAAATGAAATGCATCATTTCATGCATAGATTTATGACACCAAAAGTTAATAAGTTAAATAAGTACATATATAAAAATTGTGGTATGCATGTAAATTTCAATAAACACTGTCATCGTCGGATCTAAAATCCCAGATGTGATTCGTTAATTAATCGACAGCAAGCTTAAAATTTATAAAAAATCATGATATGAATCATTTAAATCTTAATGTGAATGCTAAGGTGTCCCTTGGAAACAACACGTCTTGCCTAAATATAGTGAAAAGAGTGCAATAACCACTATACCGACACACAGTTGTAGTGTTAAATAAGCAAGAGTTTTCATATCTCGAACGGATGTGAATAAAAAAGTTAGTAATGAAACTAATATTAGAATAAAATCTTCGAATATTGATACTCTCACGAGTAAAAATAATGGAATTAGTTGATCTTATGATTCATAAAAAAATAAATATCTTATGTATTCAAAAAGCTAAATGGATTGGAGAAAATAATAAAGATATTTGTAGCTTTGATTTTAAAGATTGGTATTTAGGTAGAAATGTTAGAAATGGTGTAGGTGTAATTATAGATAAGAGTTCAAAAAATAATGTTACAAAAATTAATAGAAATAGAGATAGAATTATGACCCTTGAGATTGTTGATGATGCTAACTTTTTTATTGTAACAAGTGTTTATGCTTCGAAAGTAGATATATATATATATAGGTTCTAAAGAATACTTCTGGAATGACCTACAAAAATTAATGCAAATAATAACTTTCGAAGAAAAAATTTTTATTGGAGGTAATTTAAAAGGACTACGATTTTAAAACGATTAATAAAGAAGGTAGAGCTATATTAGATTTTATTTTAACGTATAATTTTGTTATTGTTAATAATTTATTGAAGAAAAGAGATGAGCATATTATTATTTATAAGAATAAATCTAATAAAATATAAATTAATTATTTTCTAATGAGAAGAAGAGAACGTCGAGAAGATAACGATTGTAAGGTCATTTCAAGTGAAAATTTAAGTGCTCAACATCGATTATTAGTTTTAGATTTTAAGATGAAGAGTTGTGATATAAATAATATTAGGAATCAATCTCATAGAATTAAAATAGAGCACCTAAAGACAAACAAAATTATTTTTATGAGTAAACTTCAAATTTTTAAGATTTGGGATATTCATAAAGAATTAAATTTTATATAGGACAAAGTAATAAGTACTATTAAACAAGTGGCAAATATTATACTTTGAAGAATCAAAAGACAAAAAAATTTATAAATAAAAATAATTTGTGTAATAATAATGTGCAAAAAAAAGATGAAATTTTAAAAAATGTTATAAAAATTAGTTTAAATGTAAAAGCTTAGAGAATTAAAAAAATATAAAGTGACCCGTAGAAAGTCAAAGAGAATAATTTTGTGACACTAACAAGTCAACTTTTAGTGATCTTTATAAAGAGTGTTAAAAATATATGTATAAACTAGACAAACAAAGAGAAAAAATCAATTACATATTTAACTCAAGTAAAATGAATTAAAGATGAAAATAAAAAAAAATATTTTTCTTAGAAGAAGATATTCAAAATTTATGGGTGAGTTATTTTAATAAAATTTTCAATGAAGTTTTTGAAAATAAAATCGACCTTAATGATCTTAATATCGTTAATAATGATAATATATTTTATTTTTATCATCGTATTAGTAAAAATACGTTGATGAGGTTTTAAAGAGAATCAATGGTGAAAAATCACTGGGACCTAATGATATCATAATTAAAATGTGAAAATATTTAAGACAATTTGAGAGTTTCTTGGCTTGCTAAACTATTTAATATTATTTTAAAAAATAAAAAAAATGTTTGAGTGGAGGAAGAGTATTTTGGTCTCTTTACTTTAAAATAAAGAGGATGCACAAGTATGTGCAAATTATAAAGGAATTAAATTGATGTGAATTTAAGCTAGTATCTTTTTAATATAGTTACAGATGTTCTTAATGGACATTTACAAGAGAATGTACCTTGGTGTATGCTTTCGGTGATGATATATTTCTTGTGGATAAAGCTAGAAAGAGTTTAGAAAAAAAAACTTTAATTATGGAGGTTTACATCAGAGTCTAAAGGCCTTCGTTTAAGTAGAGCTAAAATTGAATATATGGAATGTAATTTTAGTACTAGTAGCTCTAATGGCAAAGTTTTAACTATGGGCTATCAAATCATTAAAAGGTGTGAATGTTTTAGATATCTCGAAACCATTGTTCAAAGTGATAGTGATATGGATGGGGATGCTATTAGTAGAATTCAAGTTGGTTGGTTTAAGTTGAGGAATGCTTCGGACCTACTCTGTGATCAAAAAGTACTGCTTAGAATGAAAGGAAAATTTTATAAGATGGTGCCACATGCAATACTCTATGGCCAGAATGCTAGCCTTTAAAAGAAAAGCATAAAACAAAGTTAATTGTTGCTGAGATTAGAATATTTATGTGAATGAGTGGCTAGACACTTAGAGAGACAAAATGCAAAATGAATACATCCAAGATAGGGTTGGTGTAGCTCCAGTGGCGGACAAGATTAGCGAGAGTCGTCTTAGATAGCTTTATCACATTAAGGGTCTCTTTGGGGCAACTGCACCTTATTAGTAAGTCGGTGAAAAATAATCTATTGTTCAAAATGTTGCGGTAACTATTATAATTTTTTTTACAAAAAAAGTAAGACCGCAACTAAAAAGCTGTCACTGTACCTAGCCATGAACGGTGTGAAAACACTAATTTCACCGGCTTGAAAAAGCAATTTTTTGAATAAACTATGAAAATACAATTTTTTGAATAAGTTGTCAAAACGCAATTTACCTAAACGATCCAGGGTGCGTTTTCGAAACACACCGTACCAAATAAACAGCCTCAAACGGAGCCTAAATATAGACCATCTAATGATTCTGTTAGAAGAGTAGATGTTTTAGATTCGACTGATGTTGAGAAAGGCAGAGGTAGACAAAGACTTGGGTATATTGTGTAAAAAATAAGGCAATGGAAAAAAAGGATTCATGTAGCGGACCCCACTTAGTGGAATAAAGATTTGTTGTAATTATGAAAAACAATGATGTCAAATGCCCATGAGAACGGAAATCTAAATGCATCGAGAATAAAAAACTATACGCCAGTTGGTGGTTGAGACAAAGAACTATACAATATAAATGGTGTTGGGCTTCTCTGTTTCATAGGACTCTGTTCTTAATTAAACGAAAAAATGCTGCCCTATAAAAATTTGCTTGACCGCTTATTTTTTCTAATAAGAAGTGCGAACCTATAACTTCTGAAGCAAAGAAATCTCCAAGCTCAAGTTCGTGTTATGATGGGGCTTGATGAGGCAACATAATTGTCAAGTCATAACCTGAACCTCTAACAAAAGAATAAAAGTTTAATATTGAACATAAAAATTCAGTCCAATCTAATAACAATACTTAAAAAATTATAAATGCTGACAAAGAGGTTGCAAATATCCATAAAAGTAACAGAAAAATTATTGTGAGAAAGCAGATTTCTTGAAACATTTTGTTTGCAACATTACAAACATTTTTTTTTTTTTTTACTTTGAACAAAAGCTTTCTTACTACCCCATTAGTAGGATCTGGTCGTGAAAAATTGCCAAAATAATCACATGACTATTTACATGTGGTCATTTTCGTCCCAGAGTCTAAAAATGTCAAATTAGTCATCATTCTCTTCCAAATATTAATTGAAATAGTTCCCACTGATGACTATTTTAGCCCCCTTTAAAAGAAAAAAAGTTAAAGTCTAACAAAAATAAGACAATTGTATGGAGAGTATGGGAAAGAAAAACTATGCAGACAAACCCTAGATAATAAGGTTTACTTTGAACTCATAATATCACGTCTAACCACTAACCAAATCAGCATGTCACTGAACTTCATATATCAAATATAGCATGAACTACTGAAAATTGTGAGCTAATTTTAAAAATTGAGCATTTAACCTGTTTACAAACAAGCTGTGAATCAGCCCTTGCATGAACATCTCTGTAGCCCATTTCAAGAGCCTCCTTAAGACCAATAATCAAGCCCTCGTATTCAGCAACATTATTAGTAGTGAAACCCAAAGGCTCGCGCACTCGAGAAACCTTCAACAAATAGGGGTGAACAAATTATTAAACTCAATAATAGTTGCACAACACATTATAAAATCATAATCATCTATCACCATCTCATTCTCTTAAGAGTTAGAATATAAGTCAAAATTCACCACAACTCCTGTTGAGTCGCGTATCACTGCTCCTGCGCCTCCTTGACCAGGATTTCCTTTGCAAGCACCATCAAACTCAACAATGCAGTAGTCACCCATCCACTGAGAGTTTTAAGAGAATAGTAAGAATAAAGATTATTAAAGAGAAATGAAAAGGTTACACATAACGCAAAGAGGAAAAAGACTAAAATTTTGATAAAAATTTATGAACAATTAAGTATGTCTTTAGAAGATTATGGAAACAATACATAAGAAGACCCTCAAGACGTATATTTAAAACGCCTATAAACCTAAGAACAATGAACATTCCTATTTTGCTAAAGAAATTAATCTCATATTTTCCATTTGCCAACCGTATGCATAAATATTTCAGGCAGCATTTTGGAAGCATTCTGAAACTACTTTATTCAGGTTTTTATCAAGTAAATTGCATGTTTTCAAATACTAAAAAAATTTATCATCGGCGTTCTCACTCACTCTCAAATCACCATTCAAGTAAAACGATCCTCAAGGGGCTTAAAAATAAATTCGATGGTTAAACAACTTCATAAATCTACCCAACTGCTTGCATAAACTACATATGAATTTGAAGTCTCCTGCTCAAGCCATAGTTTGTTCAGACTAATAAGAAAAGACAGCACAGCCGTGGTTGATAGACAACAGCAAACCCTAATTGAAACACCGAGGGTGCCCTAACTCACGCAAGAAATACCCATTGCACACAAAATCAAAAGTTCTTCAATAAAACAGGACAAATATACAGTTACAAAAACCCAAAATCGCACAGCCATGGTTCATGGCAAATCCCAGCGCTTATACAAACACATTGTGGACATAAAACTAAGCAAGAAGAACTCATTTGACACAATATCACCCTCGATCACCGCTAGAAGCCTAGAAGTAGACTGAGGAGGAAAATCAGAGAGGCGCCGTTCAAATCCCAAACGATTTGCGTTCATCACGGGTTATTTAGAGGTACAATGGGGTTATATATTTATATTTGCGTTATAATCAAATATAACTCTTCTGTATCTTTAGAATAATCTCTAATGTACGTAAAGCTGCGTATATCTTATGCACGTAAATATTTTCCCAAAGGATGGGGTTTAAATAGCCTTATAGCAGGATAGAGCAGGCCGACTCGTGAGCCCACTGTCCGCCGAGGACTGTCCATTAATTAACTCATTTATAAAATATTAATCTGTATTATATTAAAAAAATATTAAAATTCATAATTACATCTTCAAATTTTTAAAAGTAAAAAAAATAAATTATTATTTTATATTAAATAAAAAATATATTTTAGTGCTCTGCTTTAAATTTTCCATTTTATCAAAATATTAATTTAATTTTAATTCCTTAAAGAAAATTATGACTCGTTGGCTGGTAAATCATGACCGTTAATTTTTATTTGCTACGCCTCAAATCTGCCGACCGGTTCGTGATTGTGAAGGCTCCCCGCTCAAAATATTCTGTTCGCTTTAACATCATATCAAAAAGACATTAGTGCGGCGCTATCGTGGGGCCCATTCCCCTGCTATCTTAATGATTATCAGGCGCATATAGAAGGCCAATTAAAAAAAAAATAGCCTAAAAATAAAAACAATGTCAGTAATATCTTAAAATTATTTTAAAATAAATAAATAAAAGTAAGATTTACGTGCACCTAGTCACTCACTTTTTTTATTTATTTCAGGTGTCAATTTCACCCGTTATTCAGTAACAGCTTGTGTTTGGCTCTTGTTTTGCTCGTTCATTAGCATAACAAGTCCAACACGAATAAAAATTTAAACTCATAAACTAATTAAATATGAACAAAATTTGTTCACTCGTGTATGACTTGAGTTGACTTAAATACACACACCTAAGAAATATTCATAAAATTAAATATCATAAATTATAATTAATTAATTTTTACACACAATTTTCTCAGAAAATTAATATTTTAATTTTATTTAAAAAATTAATTATTATGATAATTTTTATATTATAACAAGACAATTTTGAGCCGAGCACGAACATGAAAAAGTTTTTCGAGCCAAACAGGAACACATTGTTCACGAGTTAAATTGTGAACGAACCGAACACGAATATAGCCTGAGTACAACCCTATTCAATTCATCTATATTTACCTACATATCTAACACATAAATTTATTTAATTAGTTTCATTAATTTTATATATATATATATATATATAATAGCCCAAATTATGAACCCATTTAACTTGAGTTTTTTATTAAAGCTCCCACGATTACACCAAAAGACACCTCGAATATTAAAAGCTTAAGAACTATTTGGGATCAATTTTTTTTTTTATTTTGTTTTTAGATTGTTTTGTTTTGTTTTTATTTTATGTTTTTTTTTTTTTGTTTTTTAAATATGTGTTTGCTACAGTTACGATTTATATGTTTTTAAAAATGAATATATTAAACATTTTTAGTTTGGTTTTTTTAATTTTTTTAAAGAGAAATATATATTTTTAAAAAAAGTTTCGGTCCACGTGGCACTCCAGGATTAAGTTCTGCCGCCCTTTACATATATGACGTATTACATGCTCCACTCCCAACACGATCATCACCTGTGTGGGCGGCGGTGGGCGTGAATCGGGTGGTCGGCGGCCAACTAACGTCGTGCTACAGCAGCCGGTGATAAGCCGACTTGCAGCCAATGGACGGCTGCCAGCTGCAGGTGGCAACGACCGATGGGTGGCGGCGTGCATTTTCTGAAGGGTTATTCATAATGTGTTTAGAGATGAGTTTGTTTAAGGTGTTTTAAAAACAATAAAAATATAATTTTGTTTATGTTTTGGATATTTAAAAACAAATGTGATATTTCTAAAAATAAAAAAATAATAACCAGAAAAAAGTTCAAAAAAAAAAATTGACAAACACTATTTTTCAATTCGTTTTATGTTTTTTTGTTGTAAAAAAAAATTAAACACAAAAATTTATCCCAAAGGGCCCCTTACCTTCATTTAACTTGAGGGGTTTCGCAATCTCCCTCGTTTCATTTTTCTTAACTAAAAGTCATCCATCATGTAAGTATTTTTATATTCAAACTTATGTAAGACTCAGATACCATTTGTAACAACCCAAAATTTCACCCATCGAGATGTTGTCTGCTTTGGCCTAATGGCATCATAGTTTTGTCTCATTTTTGTTTAGGGTATCTGAGTGCTCTCATACGAACACACTTAAACATTGGAGTTTTAAATGAAACTCGTTAGAAGGTTCTCAATAGTAAAGTGATTATTAAGCTTCTTACCATTGTGTGAGACTCGAGCACAAAAAATAAAAGGTAAGTAAGCACGATGAAAAAACTCAATTTTACGTGAAAATCCCTAGAAAGATGAAAAAACCACGGGCACAGCCTAATTGAGATAATCAAACAACATATGTGAGTACATGTGCCAAATCTTATACAGAATTAGGGAAGATAAAGTTACACAGTTCATTATTATAAGTGTTTAATAATATTTCATTGATAACAATCGTAGTTTGGCTATAATAAATGTAGTTATTGATGTTAGCAAGCCGCAATGGTCGTAGCCAATTACTATGGAAGCGATACTCTACCGTGAATGTTGTAGAAGGTGGTTGTAGCGCTGACTTGTCATATATGTTATAGTTGAAAGTCAAAGTAGTAGTTGGTGGTGTGGGTCGTAGATGGTTGATTCAAGAGCATTAGTTAGTCATAAAGGTCGTAGTAGAAAGCTATAGAAGTTGTGAGCCACGTTTGTTGTAGTTGGAAACGTAGTTTGTAGTGGTGCGATGGGATAATGTCGGTAAGCTGTAGAGGCTCGAAGTTAGGAGGTTTATGATTTGTGGGTCGCATATATCATAATTTGTCATGTAGGACATTGTGGTGAGCTCTGATGATGTTTATATGTAACGAATGAATGAGTTATAAGCTAGACAATTTGTAAGTCATGTAAGTCATAGTTTGCTACGTAGGTCATTGTGGTGAGTTGTGATGACAATTATAGGCCACAGAGGTCGAAGTCTAAAGTTACATAAGCTGTGGACCACATAGGTTGTGGTAATGAGTTGCGATGATAACCTTAAACTATGGGGGGAGAGGGGGTGGGGGGTTTGGAGTTCCATGTACTGTGAGCCACGAAGGTTGTTGTTGGCCATATAAGTTGCAATGGCGAGTTATGATGATGTTTGTAGGGTGCATGAGCAGAAATGAGGAGTTACATGAGTTGTAAGGCTTATAGGTTGCAATTGGCCACATGGGTCGTAATCGTTGGTCGCAGACGTTGGAGTTTGGAGACACACAAGCTACGGGTCATGTAGGCCGTAATTGGTATTGCAGACTGTAGTGATGAGTTCTGATGGTCGTAGTTACAAGAGTCTTTGAGCCACAATAGTAATAGGTCATGTAAGTTGCAGTTAGTTATGTATGGCGTAGTTGTAAGTTGTAATGACTTACACAGGACACAGAGGCCATAGTCTGAAGCTATATGTGTCGTGAACCACATAGATCATATTTGGTCACATAAAGTATGTTGATGAGTTTCAAAGAGGTTCGTAGGCCATAAGAGCCAGAGTTAGAAGTTATACGAGTTGTGAGTCACGTAAGTTATAGTTGATCGTATAGGTCATCGTGGTGAGTTGTGATGATGTTATTATTCCCATGTAAATATCAAAGTTTAGATGTTAGATAAGTTATTTTGCTTTACTTCCCTTTGTTTCAATTTGGAAAAACATTTTACGTAGAGTACTATGAGTGCTACTTGTTCTTTTGAAAAAAATATACTAGGAAATTATTTTAAACCGATGTAAACATCAAGCTGAGACGTTAGATAAATTATTTCATTTCTCTTTCCTCATATTCAATGAGGAAAATAATTTGTGGATAGATATATGAGCATTTTTGGTGATTTTCAAAAATTGTCTTGAGTCGAATGTAAATATCAAAGTTTATATACTAGATAAGTAATTGCTTTTTCACTTTGCTCTTTTTTAGTGTGTAAAATCATTTTATGAAGAGAATTATGAGCACTATTGGTTCTTTTGAAAATATATTTCTGAAAATTGATTTTAGTCGATGTAAATATCAATGTTTAGATGCTAAATAAGTTATTCAATCTCATTTTCATATGTTTCAATTTAGAAAAGTATATTATGGAGAGTATTATAAGCATTGTTATTTCTTTTGAAAAAAGATAAAAGAACCAAAACATCATCACGCAACTCATAAATAAATAAATATCAAAACTCTAAGAGCCAAAGCATTATAAAAAAAAGAATACTGCCTTTAATGATTCATTTGAAAATAGATTTAAGAAACAAAGAACATTCACATGATTCATATATGAATTTAAGTTTTGATGTTTGATATATACTGATATATGAAATATATGATGGTTGTCGGGTTTTGTGTTTGCACTGACACAAGGCTTTTGAATGTTGTGTAGATTTGAAGGTTTTAGTAGTTCAAATAATAAAACTCGTCGTTGAAAGTAGTAAATCACCTCGAAAGGTGGAAATACCACTTTTATGATGGGTTTGATTATTTGAACCAAGAAAACATTGGACATCTGCACTGGTCTGCGGTTTAAACCTGATAGATCATTTTCTCTATCTAATCTGAAGATTAAACAACAGCTTTCTGACAACACCTGAGAATCCGCTTCTTGGAAAAAGCAAGAGCAAATGCAACCTAAGCTAAGAAAAGTTGTTTCAAGCACATCCAAAACGTGAAATTAGTCGTACTGAAAGCCTGCTAGGCACGACTGACCGGTGCATCTACCCATTCTTGTCCTCAGCGCTTTTTTTTAGAGGTTTAGTTCTCTTGCTTTAAATAGGATTAGAGAAAGCTTGTTACAAGTTCAACTCATAAGATTTAAATTTGATTATAATAGATTTCAGGAAGTTTTGCATTACATACTACACAATTCCTATTTATTTACATACATGTCACTCAAAACCACAATTTTTATATTTATATCCCTTTACTTATGCATGAAAAAGGTGTATTTCACTTTGTTTAGTAGTTATTTATAATAATACTTTTGATGTGATGGGAAAAATTTTAATGGTATAAGTATAAAAATCAAAGTTAAGGTTTTAGATATGTAAATACATAAGAATTGTGAGGTATATATATAAATGTCCATAGGTTTTAAGGTCATCACATTCGCTTTAAAATACACATGTAATATAATTGTTATGAATATAAAATTAATGTTTAGGAATTTGATATATTAACTCATTTATGATGTTGATATTGAAAACGAAATATGACACTTCAAATGCTAGACCGTCTTTGAATAATGTTAATTCAAGTGAATGTGAGCCTCCAAGTACTTTGTTGACAAATTTGGTGGATCATGAAGTGCTGGAATAATGAGTCTAACCAATTTAATCATCAATCAATCCTTCAATTGAGTCGGCCGACGATACATCGAACAAGTCAATCAACTTAATTTTAATGAACATCTAAATTTAAATATTATTTAGTTTTATTTTCCGATTTTAATTAAATGATTATAATTAACATTTTTGAGTAAAAATAGACAAAATAATTAAAAATCATATTCTAAATTTTGATTTAAAACAACATTCAAACTATTCTAGACTAGATTACTTTGCTTGCTTAGATTAACTAAACAAAACTAAATGGCTTCAAAATATGGCTAGCGTCGAGCTATACCCGGGCGAATTCCTTAGAATAATCTTGCAATAGCCATGTACCTAGGATGATCCCATAGTTTACTAATCATTCCTTCTTTGTTGATACACACTTTTTAAAGAGGCATTTACATACATACCACCTAATTCCCATGTATTTATATATCTAACGTCTAAACCTTTCTTCTCACATTTATAATTTTATATCATCTAAATCTATCATATTACATAAAAAAATGTCACCATTTTAACTTAAAGATGGCAAGTATTTAAAGATTAAAGTTTAGGTGTTGGATATGTAAATACATAAGAATTGAGTAGTATGTATGTCAATCTATCCTTATTAATACAATAGAAATAAGCTTCAAGACTTATTCATTCCCTAGGTATGATATTTAATCTATAAATAATTAAGTGCCATTTTATTTAGATGTCAATTTGCAATCTAATCCTCAAAGAAGCTATAAAACATATAAACACCCATAAAAAACACATTTTTAGTGTGAATACATTTCCTTCATTAAACAATATAATCATAGAACTCCTTCGTAGTATTCCATTGATGCAAAACAGCGCCAAAAACATCATAAAATTTGATATTGGCTTCAGTTGAGCTCAGCTGAAGAGAAACAAATCCTTGACCATCATAGAAGAACTCCACATTCTCCACTGTCGGCATTATTATTCCCCTCCAAGCTTTTGATCCCCCTCCACTTGTCAGAAAGTGAATAAAGCTGCAATTTTTAACTTTTCTGACTAAAGTTTATGAATTTAAAATCATTTAATTAATCAAAATGTAATATTGCATTTGAAATAAAGCAAACACTCTTACTCTTTCATCTTCTTTTTTTTTACCTGTCAGTACTGCTGATGTGCTGAAGGCAATGATCATGACCATTGATGTATATATCAACACCATAATTCTGTAATAATTATAATTATATACATATATATTCTAAAATCACTGTTAATATTAGAAAATATTGAAAATTTATTGATTACAATGAGCATGGGCAGAAGCAACTTGACTAACTCGGGAGTTTCTCCATGTTCGCTCACACTCCTTAGTGTGTGATGCCCAATAACAATCTTCCACGTCGCAGCTGACTCTCCCAGTGCTCTCTCCAAATCCTGCCCCAATTAACTTTTTACATTCATACCCTTCAAATCTTTACATCTTTTCTTTCATATAAAGATATGTAAAAGTTAAAAGAGTGCCAGATACCTTCAAAAGGGTTGAGATGTATTTTTTCCTGGGAGCCACCTCCCTCCAATCATAGCGATTCTTCTTAGGATTCTTCCAATACTTCTTCACAAATGGCGTTGTATCCAAGAAAAAGAAATTTGCAATCTCTAATCAAACAAAAACAATAATTACATAGCACAGGCATATGCATTATTGCATAACAAACCACCCAATTTAACTTTAATGAAATGAAATGCATATTTTCATGCATATATATGCATGTAAGTCTTTGAAAATAAATTTATTATATTTCTACCTGCATCCACAATAAATGATCTCATGCAGAGCCAGCGGCTATCAATCTTCCCGAGCTGAGGATCCAACTGAGCCATCACATTTCCTCGATAATCATGATTTCCAAGAACTAATATTGAACCAAAAAATAAATAAAAAACAATAATAAAAGATTCATATTCCAAAATTTATATTTTTGTAGCTTAAATAATGAATTATATAAATAAATATACCACTATACCACTGCTTCTGCAAGCTGCTGGCAGTGTAGATATTGGTGAAGGATTCTTCAAATGATTTGTCGTCAACTTCTCTCAATCCACTCTCATAGAAATTATCTCCGACTGATATTACAAAATCAATGTCAAGTTCTTCCCCAATTATTCCCATCTATCAATCACAGATTTTTTTTTTCGTTAGCATTCTTTATTTCATTTTATTTGTAAATTCATTTTTTTTATTTAAGAAAAAAAATAATTGCTTTATAAAATTGTCAAAAAAGTCCTTCACTATTTTTAAAATTAAGCTTTATTAGTTCTTCACAGAGACTATTTTAGCCATAATTTAAAGAGTTTGTGGACTATTTTGACACTTTACTCTTTAAAAAAATATACGAAAAATTTACATACATACCACTCAATTAACTCCCATGCATTTAGATATTTGTATTTACATTTTTGCATACATTCCCCCTTATCTAATCATGAAAAGGTGTTTTTCACCATTTAAAAGTTAAAATAGTTGTATTTTTGTTGTGGTGTGAGATATTTGGGTGTTATAAATGTAAAAAATAAAGTTTAGGTATTGATTATGTAAAAACATTAAACAAATAATATTGATCTAATAAATAATAAAATAAAGATTTCTCACTCATAAATCTTATCTTAATTGCTGAAAAAATAAATCAGAATATTTTAATTAAAAAGTTCACAACTCTTATATATTTACATATTCAACACTTAAATTTTCATATTTACATGAATAACACTCAAAATTTTAACATCATATAAAAAATATCTCTATTACTCGATATTAAAAGTGAGATACACTATTTCATACATTGGTTGATGACACCAAAAGTGTTATAAATATAAATATAGAAGTTTAGGTGGTGATGTATGATGGATAAGAAATTGTGTGGTATGCATGTAAATTTACCCCAAATCCAATGCTTCTCATTTATAGGTAAATATGAAAAAATGAAAGGAAAAACAGAAATAAAAGAAGCTTATACATGCAGTAGGAAGGGAGATGGACCTGATAGGCAACTAGTGATTGGTTAAAAGTTCCATTTCTTCCCCAGTCACCAATGGCCAGGAAGCTCAGAGAACCATCGGATTTAGGTGGGTGGAAGAACCTCTTTAGCTCCGCCATGGAAGAACAGCAGAGGATGAGAGAAAAGACTGCAGCAAGGAGAGAACGAACCATTACATTTACAGGCCTGCATGGAGACCAAACCATGGCTTCACAAGGAGAAATAATAGAGAGCATTACGGAGAGAAAGTGAGAGGAAGACAGGGGAGCATACCGCAAGCCGGACAGGGGAGCGAACCTTCCTCCCATGGATTGAGCAGCTTCTCCATGAAATATTTATCTTTTAAATTATTTTTAATATCCTGAGGTTTTATGAGAAGATCGATCGAAACTTCCATGTCATTTCTAGTACTTTTTCCATTTAAATCATTGTATGTCATTTTTAAGCGATTGGTACGTTTTCTATTGTATTTAAATTACATGAAACATATGAATTTAATTTTTAAATAATATTGTTGAATAATTTTAGGAAGTTCACACAATCCGAAGCAGATTTCTTTAAGAAAGATGAAGATGACATAAATTATGTGTTTTGTTTTTCAATTCCTCTCTTGCGGAGCAGAGAAGAAGATGTGATGAGAGTAGGGGGACAAGAAAAGTTCTGTAAGAGTTATGGTGCAAGATTTCAATCAAAAACTCTCGAAAAATCTATCTCTTCACCGGTCCTTTCCTCCTACATGTTTAAGAAAATATTCAAATGCAAGATGCGTCGCCAAGATTTTTTCACGGTATTTTAATGAAACGATCACGACATGTATATCAAGCAGCTCATAACTGTGAATAGGGTATATGTCACATCATTGGCATTGGTCTTGACTTGCAATCTGATAGTTTCGAGAATCGCTGAGGAGACCTAGGCTCATGAGTCTGATTGGTCCGTACATTAGATGACATGTGCATGCCAATTTGACGAGTCAGTCGTCAAGTCGGCCAAACAAGTTAACTCAGTAATTAATGTAAGACAACTGACATATCGACAAGTAAAGCTACCAAGCCACCGTAGCAGGTCACTCTAACGACAGTCGTGTTTCTGAATAGTTCGACCAATCACACACCCATGAGGCCTGTTAGATGCAAGGCTCAGACTCATAAAGATTGATTTTTTATGTACAATTATGAACAAATAAAGATATTCACCATAAAATTTACAGCAAAATAATAAAATATTAGAACATTCATATGTTATAAGAAGGTGAAATGAAAATTACCTTAATACATTCTGCTATTTTACAAATAAAATATCAAATTTATGATGGTTTCTTTTATGAAATTCATGAAACAAAGCCCCTTTTTGAATTATCCCATTTCATATCAATTATCATTTTTTTTAATGTGGGATATTTTTTTTTTATATAATTTTAGCTATTTATTATAATTACCTAGGAACTATGATGTGGCCGTTTTAGAAATTGGTCAATGGCATAAGTCCACATAACTGCCAATGAATTCAAACTTTAGTCGACATTGTATGCCATATATAAATAGTGACGTGGCATTAGCTGAGAGGGCGGCTTGAACAAATCAAACACTTGTCGTGCGTTGATTGGTCCACTTTATATTATTTTTAATTATACAATTGTTTTTGTTAATTCTGATGTGGCAGCATCCAATGGTGGGGACTTGCTGACCTGGCAAGGAATATAGATGTGTAGTGGTTATATAATAACCATAAGTGTCCTTCAATCATTGCCTCATTGGTTCAATTTAATAGGGAAGTAGAGGTTTCCATATGAGGATCTCTCAAAAAATTTCATATTTTTATTTATTATTATTTTTTAAAATCATATCCATGTATACGTTTTAATAGTTATTTAATATTTTACTCCTTCATTATTATTACTATTTTTTTTAATTTGCTCAAATTAAAAAAAATTAAACATTTTATGATTTTACCCACCCTAAAAATAACGCTGGTTTCGCCTTGAGATCAATGTTAAGTCAAACTCACTCAAACTACTTATTCATGCCTCTAATTATATTATTATAAGATGAAGCAATATTGATCCTTCAAAGGCAATGAAGCCATAAGACTATTGGACCATGATATCACTTCTCCTCAATCTCACAAATTCATTTTACATATCACAAATTTAAATCCAACCATCAATGACTTCTTCAATATAATATAATGATATGTAATTAAATTTAAACCCTCCTTATTTCTAACTATTATAATGCCCACCAATATGTAATTAAACATCTGCATTGCTCAACAATCCCAAAAAAATTTGCAAATATATTCTTACAATATCTTTCAGGAAATAAGAAATAAGAAAGAAGAAGAGGTACTAAGTTTTAAAAAATCACTAACATCATTAGTAAAATGTTCAAAAGGTAATAATTACATGAAAGAAGAGAATCAAGTAATTGAGAAACTTCACCTCAATCCAATTTGAAGTCTGCACAAATCTTGCCATGATGCACCTTGAGCCTTAATGGATTAACTAATAAGCTGCATGCCCACACCCCTAATACAGTTGCTTCAATAGGGGCAAGCCAATACACATATATATGCTCCTTTGATGCATGTGTTCCCTCAGCATATGCCCACCCAAAGGCCTGTTCAACAGGAACAATTAAATATATATATATTCAGAAATGTATTTTTTTTTCTTTAATACTTATAGGAGCAATGCCTAACAATTTTGTTTTTTCATTTCCTTATTATAGTTCTTATGTCTATCAAGTCTTATTAAAAGGTATCATGACTCCTTGCAAAAAGTGGTTTTAATCTCAAATTCAATAAAAATGTCAATTTAGTTTACAAAACTTTTTGTTGAAATTCAGAATAATGCGAAATACTTCGGAATATTTTTATTGATGTGAACGGGGGTATAAATAAGTCATACAAGAATCTTATAATAAGAAAAATAATAAAAAGGAAATGACATGAAAGGAAACATATATCACCTGATATCTCCAATAATTAATTCATATTAATTATTATATGATAATAAAAAATAATATAAAATAGGAAAACAAATAATTCCTATTATATGAAACAAAAATATCTCCTTATATTAAGGAAAGAATTTATTCCTCGTAACTTTTGCTAGGAATAAATTATTTCCTATTATAAGTCATAATGAGAAAGACAATAAATCTTGTAATTTAAATTAGATATCTCAACACTCCCCCTCAAGTTAAACATGGTTAAAAATCATATTCAGCTTGAATTTGAAAACATCGGTTGCGCTGTGGTATGCTGACTGGATATGTAACATCAATTTGCCAACAAGAAACTCCAACAATCCTCAAACCGTAAGTGCAGAAGACGAAGTTCCCGAAACCAGGAATGTCGAAGCCTGAGGGCGCCGAAGCCTAATAATGTCGAAGCCTAAGAGTGACCTTGACGAAGGCTAAGCTCAATTTCAAGACATTGATAAGTTTTAAGTCACCAGTTGACTGATAATTGTATGAAAGCAACAAGAAGACTGCAATAATGATGCAGCAAAGATGCAAGGAGGCTGCAGGGAGGTTGCATGAAAGCTGCAGAGGGTCAACGACAGTGCTCAGGAAAATTGTAATGCTCGGAGAAGGCTGCAATAATGCTGCAGGAAATAACAGTGCTACCAAAATCTGTATGAAAAATTTGTTGAGGTAGATCCGACGGCGAGAAAAGCTGCATGAGCGAGGTCCGACGGCGGGAAAGGCTGCAGGGGAGAGAACCGGCTGCAGGAGTAAGCCCGAAGGTCCAATCGACACAACAGATATGTCCGCAGAAATTTCTAGCAGTAGGAAAGACCGGAAGAGAAAATTTCACCGACAGGAAGGACTACAGGAGGGAATTCCAGTGGCAGGAAAGTCATCAAGGGATAGGTCCCGCTGTAGGTAGGTGCTTCGATGGTCTTGGAAGAAAATTGGGAGGTCTGACGACTGGAAAATCTCGCAGGAAGGATTTGCGACTGAAAAAACTGCAGGGAAAACGACCATGGGAGAGCCCGCAAGGAGGCCAGCGCTCTGTGCGGTTCTGTGAGGGACAATGATTTCCACCAGAGAGTGAAAACTGGGATTTCAACTGGAGATCTTCTGTGATTTGCACTGGAGAGAGAAAACAAATTCCATTGGTGAACCAAAATTTCTACTATAAAGAGAAAATAATATTCGTTGTTTGCTGAAATGCAAGCTTGCAGAAGCCCAAATGTCTGCGCAGGGAAAAACGTTAAAATCGCAATGTAGTGAATCAGACACCTACACAGGAAAAAAATTGAGGCACAACAAAGGCTGCTGAAATTGACTCCGACGACTAGCGGCATCTGCATAGGGAAAAGTGAGGCGCAACATAAGCTGAAGGAATTGTCGGGTGCAGAGAAGAATGTAGAGAGATCTCTGATTCTAAAGGCTGCTTGGAGAAGGTCTGGTTGGAAACGCAGCTCACCCTGACGCTTTGGGCAGGGAAGGAAAAATACTGCAAATATAATCAAATGCAGCTGAGAAACCACATAAAGAAATTATTACTCAGATTGTCCAAATTATATCTCCTCCTTCAGTTTTTCATTTTTTTTAAAAACAATTCCTCCTTGCTTTTCTTAAAAATGAGATAACGATAACTGAACCAGATTGTATAGCCCAAGCCAACCAAGTCCAACACTTTTGGAAACAGAGGAAGAGTAACAATTGCGCTAACAACAGCTGATGAAATCCACAGAGCAAGCAAAGCACCAGCTCCGTTAAACATGATGAAGTAAGTGCCATCTAAATCCAACTTGGAACAAAGCTTGCTAAGTAAATCTTCAGCCTCGCTTAGCTCTCCATCATTCGAAGTCTCTACAAGTGAGAAATCCTCCGTTGCCGGAGCCTTCTTCAGCTCCAAAGCATCGCCAAACTTTTGCGACACGATGGCGGGGTTTCTTCAGAGGTCGTGGCTCTTGAGCAATGCAAACATGCAAATCCGACCAAGAGGAAGCAGGAACCGAGGATTATGAGAGCGGAGAGATCAGCCGAGCTGTAGAAGAAGAGCGGAGGCTAAATCTATCGGACGAGGAAAGAGGTGACGGAGGGTTTCGAGCAGGAAGCAGCGAATGTCTCGGTGTGCGAGGGCTTTGGTTCGTGAATGGAGGGAGATGAAAACTTCGGTTCGCAGAGACGACTCCTGTGAGCGGAGGAAGGAAAAGGAGAAGCGGGAGAAAGAGCTAGCAAGCGAGCTCGATACAAAGGGAGGTGAGCGGGCTCGATGCAGAGGGAGGAGAGCGGCAAACGGTTGTGAGAGAGAGGCGAGGAAAAGGCGAGGGCTTTGGCTCTGAGAGAAGAGGGATAGAGTTAGTTAAGAGAAAGATGGTTCAAAGAGATGGCCGCCACCGGCGAGGAAGAGGAGGTTGGATGGGCTGCCACCTACGGAAGGAAGGGCACCACGGCCACCGTTAGGGGATGAGCAGCGGTGCTTGTCAAGGGCGGGGAGCCCCACGCCCCGCTTGTTGTCCAGGAGGTTCTCCACTTGTGGTCGACGAAGATAGACGCGGTTGAAGTGTCGCGCACAGATTCGAAGAAGAGCCGTGATTAGACAACACGAAGAAAGTGAAGCTCCTGCAGGTATCTTGCTCCATTCTCATCCCCTGTAAAGCTACAACAAAAGATGCCAGGAAAACTTGCTTCAAAAAGAAAATTAACCGCGTAGCGGAGCCACTGCAGTGGGAGTAGTGATGGCAAAGCGAAGCTTTTCAAGAACGGCGAAGAAGGCGAACACATTGATTCAACCGGAGGTGACCGTGAAATTTATAAGGCAATGAACGAAGCACTGATTTACCGGAAAAGATAGGATCTCCGCATCATCCGACGGAAGATGTATCTAACTGTCAACAAGAGAAAGGTTTCTTATGTAAATATAGATTTAGAAACGGTCTTCATTTCTCTCGGCAATATAAGATGGCTGATTCTCCTGGATAGATTGCAGGTTTTCTAAGGATGAAGGGAGATTGATATACTCCCCTCTTTCACTTCTCTGATGAGGTCAGGTAGGCTTGTCTTGCCAGAAATGTATCGTCGCGGTTAACAGAGGAAGAGCGAGCGCCGAATCGTAGCTGGGAAGCGAGCGGGAAAGCTGGGGATAATAAAAAAACAGGAGCGGGATCGAACCGTTGAGTTTCGTTTCAGAGGGAAAGAAGGAGTCGAATGGGAGAGAGGAAGAGTGTCTCTTCCTTCCTGCACAAAGGATGGCAGGAAGGGAACCGACAATTTTCAAAGGAAGACTGATGGCTAGAGTACAAATTAGGCTCTGATACCATGTTGAAATTCAAAATAATGCGGAATACTTCGGAATATTTTTATTGATATGAATGGAGGTATAAATAACCCTTACAAGAATCTTATAATACAAAAAACAATAAAAAGAAAATGATATGAAAGAAAAGATATATCACCTGATATCTCCAATAATTAATTCATATTAATTATTAGGAGATAATAGGAAATAATATAAAATAGGAAAACAAATAATTCCTAATATATGAAACGAAAATATCTCCTTATATTAAGGAAAGAATTTATTCCTCATAATTTTTTCTAGGAATAAATTATTTCCTATTATAAGTTTTAACAATAAAGACAATAAATCTTGTAATTTAAATTAAATATCTCAACACTTTTAATATGGGTTGAAATAATCTCTAAACTCTTTAAAGAGATGACAATTTCGGGCCAATTTTGGCACCCATTCAATAAGTATGGGAACTAATTTAACATTTTTATATACCCTTAAGACTAAAATGACATGTAAAATGGGTAGGGGATCATCTTGACACTTATGCAAATACTAACAGTATCACTATCCCTTATTCTATATTCCAAATTTTATCAATTCATGTAAGGTCATTTGGTACGTCTAACAAATGCCTTTCTTTTCTTTCTTTCTTTTTTTTTTTTTTTGAAGATTTACACATATGCCACACAATTCTTATGTTTGTACATATTCAACAACTAAATTTTGATATTTACATTAATAAAAATATCACTTTACCTGTTCATCCAAGTTACCGGTGTGGAATCAGCTTCTTTATTTGTGGGGGGTGGTCCGTTAGACCCAATATGGCTGAGGCTAGGGTAATGAAAGACAAAATGATATTTCATGAAGAGCAAAAGACCAAATTGCCCTTTCATATAGGTAAAAATCTGAATTTGAAGATGTGGCAAGACCCTGCCTGAGTCTGCCCCAACATAAAAAAATCGTATTTCACTTTAGAAAAGTTAACGATATTGGTATTTTTAATGTGACAAGAAAGATTTTAGTGTTAGAAATATAAGAAATCAAAGTTTAGGTGTTATATATCTAAATTCATACGAATGGTGCGTATCTATGCCCCCTTTTTTTAACACTTATGAATATTCTTTGTAGCATTGAAAAAGAAAAGAAATTCAGAAGAAAAAAGAGTATATGAAATGCATAACTTGAAGTCTTTTAGTGCATTGCATCGTACTTACAGTAGCAGGATTCATGATACCACCAGTAATGTCAGAACCAATGAGGTGAAGGATAACTTTGGAAACACTTGATATCCATACTCTTTTTGCAGAGCTTCCAAAATCTTTTTTCTTCAAACTTAAAACAATAATTACAACTATAAATGTAAGAAATCCCTCTGTAAATGTTCCTCGGTGAATATCAACATTTAAGCTTGGCCCATGAAGTGCTCCAGGAAAGTTTGAGTTAGTTAACCACACTCCAACAACAGATCCAGCAACCTGAACCAAAGTGGTTGGGTGTGTGAAGAAAATTAAAGCTGCTAGTTTCCAAAAGCTATAATCCTCTGGAAGGTTTAGACACAGAGCACTTAAATTTCAATTTTTTACATATATATGTCACCTTGCCTCTGCTTCAAAAGGTGTATTTCACTTTATAAAAGTTAAAATAGCTGTATTTCTAATGTGGCGTGAAAGATTTGGGTGGTACAAATGAAAGAAAATAATGTTTTAGTGTCAGATGTGTAAATACATAGGAATTTAGATGTATGCATGCAATGCCCCTAGTCCTTTTGAAGGAGGAAAAATTTCTCTGAAAGCAGTAACTTGGCCACAAATTCAAAACTCGCTCAAAAATACAGGAAAAAAAAAATAATTAGGCAATATGTCGATGCAACCAATGAGAGAAATCAAATTCAAAAGAAGCTAGTTGAAAAAAAACCAATGAGATCACCAATATGTTTAGAGGAGAAAATCTCTTTGAGAAATGGTTTTATGTACAAGTTAAACTCCAAAACCGTATCTAAGCAATGAGTGTATGTTGATTGTATGGGAAGCATTGAATGCCAACATGAACAACAAGATGTATTTATGAAAAGGGGGCAATTACATGCATTGCACTTGAAACTTTATTATTTATAAAATTAGCACTCTTTCACCCACTTTTCAAATTCCAACTAAAATATCAAAATTCACAATAAAACCTCAGCCCATTTTTGGCCTTTTTTTATCAAATTTTCAATAGTTAGATTGTGGCACAAGTAAATGCACCGGTACGGTAGTTCAAAAAAATGACCTGACTGCAAGTTTTGTAAATAGCAAAATTTCTAGTGCTATGCATATAATTATCTATTATGATAATATATACTACTCGTTTACATGCTTGAATAGAAAAAACTACATAAAAAGAAGGAACATTAACAGTCTTATCCGATTTGCTTACCTACTAATGATAATGGCTAGGTAAATGTCAGGGACTTTTATTTGTGTTTTACCAAGCACATATAATTTGGTAAAAAAATTAATACATTTGAATAACTTATTTTGTCTTTATTTGTCGTTGCATTAAACATATGTAATATTTGACACCCTATATTATAATGCAACATATTCATTAATTACAAGAAAATACCTCTCCCCGGATTCATATACAAAACAGGTAAGAGAAAGCCCGTTGATTGCTCCTTAGCATCAACCAACGATCTCTAAATAATTAAACTATAAATAGCTACAAGTAATGTTTATTGTAATTATTTATTTCCATCTCTCCATATAGTTTTGAATATAAATACATATTGAAAAAGTGAACACTCCAAAGCTTTCCTATCCACTTCTTCTTCTACATGGTAATAGGACGAGGTTAGGATTTTCTGCTTCAATTTTTTGTTCTCTCCACTCTTTCTCCAATACCTTGTCAAATCAAAGCTCCCCATTCACTTTATTATGTCTATTTTCTTTGAATTCTCTTCCATAGAGTCAACCATCATAAGCGGTTAAATTCATACTAAAAGAAAACTCTAATGAAATCAAGCCTCATATCGCTTGTATCGGAGAAATTGTGTGAAGGTCCCAAATCATGAAGACATTTTAAAAGAGAAGTGAAATATCTAAAAGTTTATGGATCTACCTATGGAGCCAAAAAAGACGAAGTTCATACTTTAGTAAGAAACAAATTTCATGATTATGGAATATCATGACACTGGAAACCAATTAGCCATATATGTTGTTATCTATGGCAAAAGACGTTTGGGACGTTCTCAAACAAACTTACTCAAAAGTTAAAAATGTTACAATTATTAACGAGATCAAAACAAGACTTTCCACCTCAAACTAATGCACCTTTTTGTCATTAAATATTTTGATATCATATAAGTTTATTGATTTGAACTAAATTATTAACAAAGTTTAGAATGACCAATTGTGATGATGAAGTAAATCTCAAGAAATTTATGAAAAGAGAGAATGTTTGAGTTTTTTATGACTTTGACCAAGTTTAAGTTCAAATTTTAAGCGGAGAAAGCCTCCCTTCACTAAATGAAGTTTTTTTCTCTTGTAGAAGTTGAAGAAAGAAGAAAGACCGTGATGTTCAATAATATATCTCCAAAACATCTGTCATGAAGAACAATGAAACCCCAAGAAATTTGCTGCCACATATTATTCTCCTAAAAAAGAACAAAAAACTCCACTCAAAGGCAATCTATGGTGTAATTATTACAAGAAGAAATGACACGTCAAAGAGAAATGTTGGAAAATTTATGGAAAACTTCAAGAACATGATGAAAACAAAGAAGGAACTAATAAAGGTCAGGCTTGACTTGTGGAAATACATGGACTCAACTTGAAATTGACAAACTAAGGAATCTCGTCAAGTCTTTGGAAAAGTAATCTGAATCATATTCGCTTACTCAAAATGTTATGACTTTCAACTTATATATCTTTAGTGCTTGAAATATAACTTTTAAACATGAACCTCGATTCAAGTGTCACTGACCACATGACAAATCTTGTCTACATCTTTCAAACCTACAAATCTTGTCTTTATAATAGAAAAAAAAAAGTAGGAGATAGTTTCTCAACAATTATTGCGGGACAAGAAAATATATCAAAATTTTCCACATTTAACCTCAATAATTATTACATATTCCTAACTTTGCAAGTACCATTTTATCAATATATAAAAATACCAAAAGTTATAGTTGAGAAGCCAAATTTTTTAATGGTTATCGTATATTTCAAGACCTTGCTACAGAGAAGATGCTTGGGCAAGTAAGAAAGAATGACCTTCTTGAGATCTAGAAACTTGATTTCCACTCACAATACTGACATCATACAGGAACATCATTATAGGCTATAATATCTCTATTTAAAAACACTTCAATGCATGTTTACTTTTCTTTGTATGAATATAAATGTTAAGGATTTTAATGTGAAACTAGAGATCTAACGAAACATTATGTGATTTGTTTTAAAAATAATTTTAAATCCTCAGTTGCTTTTGTTTTAATTTATTCTGATATTTTGGGACCCTCCAACATTCCCAATATATTTAATGTAATAAGATTTGTCATATTCATTGATGATTGCACTCGAATGATTTGAATATACTTTATCAAATAAAAAATCTAATGTCAATATTAGAATTCTCACCTTCACAGTCATGATAAAAAATCAATTCAATACAAAAATTAAAAGATTTTGGGTCGAAAATGTCAATGTTTACTTTAATCATACAATATCTTCTTCTTTTCTCCATAAATAGAGTAGCATCTACTAATTATGATATCCCGACGCACCCAAGCAAAATAGAGTTATCGAAAGAAAAATATCATCTTTTGAAAATTACTAGCCTTGCCCATAATCAAATATCAAAACGATACTAGGGAAAAAATTATTCCATCACCGATCTAATCAATAGTATACACTAAAAAATAATCAACCCCAAACATTGCTTACATTATCTAGCCCAATCTTTCTCCACAAATCACTTATTCTCAAAGATTTCTCATAAATGCATTGCGTATGTTCACTTCCACAAACAAACAAAATATATAGATCCAATAATTCTTAAGTGAGTGTTTATTAGGCATTCCCCTACTCAGAAATTGTACAAATATTATCATCCCATCATAAAAAAAATTCTTACTTCAATAGCTATCACTTTTGATGAAATCAATTTTTTTTCAAATATATTTTCAGGGGGAATGCTGAACTAGATAATAAGTTTGATGAAACTTCTATCTTTCATCTCGACATCCCTACAACTCAAACCCCAACAAATATTAATATTATACCCTCAAAGCCTACACACAAAGAAATAAGCTCAACCAAAATATCAAAAAAGTTTAAGACTGAACAGTTATCAGGTAACAATGATCATCTCATCACCACTCCTTTATACCCAATCTCCCAATATACATACTTTAAAAAAAAATTTCCTGACACGTACAAGTCAATTCTTACAAATATCAGCTCCAATTCAGTATAATCCCAGAAACCTATTTGAGGCATTGGAAAATGATAATTGGAAAAAAAAAAACTTAACCATGAGAGATTGTAGATTGGCCAAAAGAAAAAAAAAATGTGAGAAGCGGTTAGATTATTCTATTAAATATAAAGCAAACGAGCTTCTAAAATGATACAAGGCAAGATTAGTAGTCAAATAATATAATCAATCCTATTAACTTAACTATAAAAAAGTTCTTTTGTTGCCATTAAAAAAACGGATATAATCTGCTTTCTAATTTCTTTAGTTGCTAATCATGGAGGGGCAATACAACAATATGACATAAAGAAAGCTTGCTCATACATGAATATCTAAAATGATGCCTATATTGATTCACCACCAAGATTCGATACTGCTTTCACAAATAACAAATAAATAAATTAAAGAATGCTCAATATGAACTTAAATAATTCCCAACAGCATGGTTTCATAAATTCACAAAATTTATAATGGGAGTTGGACATAGGCAGATTGAATGAGACCATACACTCTTCACAAAGCACTCATCTAATGAAAAAAATTTCAATTCTCATTGTTTATGTTGATGAAATAATTCTTACAGGCAATAATAATCAAAAGAATGAGGTCAATAGAAGAGATTCGCTAAAGAATTTGAAAGAAAAAGTTAAGACAAACATAAATATTTTTGGACATAAATATTGTTCAATCTGAACAAGAAATATTTCTCTCCCAACAAATATGTCATGGATGTGCAAAAAATAAAAATAAAAATGATGGCATACAAGTCATGAGAAACCTGATTGAAGAAGATCAGAAATTGGATATAGATGAGGAAGATGTCGAAGTACACAGAGAACAATATCAAAAATTAGTTTAAAAATTAGTCTATTTATCTCATACCAGACTTGACATCACATTAGTAGCAAGTTATGTTAATCAGTTCATACACATACCTAAAGAATCTCAACATCATTCTACTTAAATAGTTCTTAGAAACATTAAATCAAGTTTAGAAAATGAATTATATATAAAAAGCAGAATATCATATAAAGTGAAGGATATCGATGAAGACAATGTTAGATCACCTATGGATAGACAATCCACATGTTACACGTTATTGAGAGGAAATCTCAAACATGAAAATATAAGAAGCAGCCAGTTTTATTGAGATCTAGTATTGAATTTGAATTAGGGGAGATTTCTCAAAGAATCTCAAACATGGTGCAACCTTATTTTATGAATACTTTTTGTATGTGGCATCAGGGTGTGAGTTTCGCAGAAAAATAACATGACTATTGGAGTGAATGAGAAAACCTTCCAAATCCTCAATACCTGTAAATTACATCCAAACAATTCAAATAGTTTGCAGAATTAGAGAATTAAACAAACAAACAGCTCGCAGGATTATCGTCGGGATTTACTGAATCCTGCTTGAATATGAATTCTCAAATATAGATTTAATAAATCCTACTTTCTAACCAAAAAGAAATTGTATTTCTGTTGCAGCGAACATAATTCTTTTTACACTTTTTAAATGCTCCCACAAAACGAGTTATTCGGTGTGACACTTTCCCAAAAACAACCGACAATTTCATTGGATTAACAACCATAAAAGCAATGATGAGCCAAACAAAAAAATAATGCAACTGACTACTATCATACAAGAGAACAAGTGGGCGGAACACGCCATAGATGCACTTACAGAATGCTGCAACTGCAGGAAAGAAAAAAAAAAAACTTACTTGGGCAGGAATTCTAGCAAGAACCGAAAAGAGGAAAACAGTGAAATTTCCAGAGATAGCGTAGCAGAGAACAATAAGCGGATTATAAGAGCCGCCCTTCGTGGCCCTGCCCACCCAGGCAAAGAAGACGAGATATGGTACTGCGACTAAGCACTTAATGATAAGAACCACGGGGTTGTTTCCAGATCCCAGAAACCTGAAAGCTAAGCACCTCAGCAGGGATCCAGACCAAACCCACAAGAAGGAAACGAAAAAATCTGAAGCAATGAGACGAAGCCGAGGCCACATCGAGCAGGTTGTTTCTTCTTCCATTAAAAATCTCCTTGTTGCTTTTCCCCTTAGTTCATTTTCCACTGTGATTGCGAGTTCCTCCTCACATTTCCAAGTGGGGGAATCAGCTCGATAGAATGTTGCTTCGAGGATGCGAGCTTTCATGAAAGAATACAGAGGACGGCCGTCTCTGCTTTCTGCGTGGAAGGAAGCTGGAAGAAGAGCCGGACATGGAGAGCCCGCAAGAAATTTTTTAGCAGTCTTAAAACGTTGAGAAATAATGGGAAATTTGGCAAAAAAAAATGACTTTTTTTTTTAGTGTGTGTTACTTTGAAAAACACTTTTATTCAACGATAGGAGTTTTACTTGTCAACCATTCAAAAGTCAAAATCTTTTATATAATATTTTAAGCATCCAAAAGTTTAAATATAGATTTTTAAGCACCTAGAAACATTCACTCAAAATCTTCACTAATATTAAAGGATATTGAATATAATGAAAATGATGGTCAAAAACTTGAAATATAATTTAATGTTTAGGTGATTAAAATATCATATTCAATATTTTGAGTGGTTGTTATTCAAAAACTTCTTTAAAATCTGTTGAATTCAAGTTTGAGATGAACACCACTTTAAACTCGTGAAGTTTGTTTTAAAATGCCAATTTAATTTTAGAAGATAAGATTAAAGAGCTCATGAATTAGTCTTTTTTAACCTCTTAGATAGATTAGCTTATAGTGTAAACTAATCGTTTTCATGTTTAATGGTTGTTAATAAGTGAGTATAATTTGGAATAATCAACGTCTAATTTCACACTTTTCATTTGAGAGGTCACTTGATCTAATACATCTCTAAAGCTTATTCAAGAGGTTTTATAATTAAAACATTTTTTTATAGAATCATAATACACTTCAGATGAATTTTAAGCCACTATATGATTAGATTTTTATGTCATGTTTCTTAAATTAGTGATCATAAGTACAATTTAGTTTGATGGCGTGCACATAAACGATTTATTGCTTGCCAAAGATTGATATGTTATTATATATAAATTTTTTGGAGGATCAAGTTATTAATATTCCTCGATAGTGATTCTTAAATCAAGAAGTTTTTAAACGTAAATCTGTTAGTTGAGTCTAGTCACGAGCATCAATAATTTAAAATCTATTCCAACAATCAAGACATGTTTTATTAATTTATCAAGAATTTATTATTTATTAATTTATCATACATAAGGTAAACAAGGCATATTTTAACAAAGTCATTCATCAACACATAACTAACTAGTCCAAAGTACTGATAGCTTGATAATAATGGTCAGTATATTGAATCAATGAGAATGACCACTCCCAAATGATTTATATAACATAATATATCAATGATTATGTGCAAAATCCACCCAATTTTAGCATGAGAACGAATAAAATAAAAAACAACAACATTTTAAAACACATGTTAAAAGATTAAAACCCCATATGCCATACTAAATAACTTCACACTTTTGAAACATATAATTATCTTAAATTAAGGCAAGTTGTAAAGATAATGATGGCCTCACAAAATAGACAAACAAAAAACTAGTTAAATACTAGTTAAGCTATTAAGCAACCCTGCATTAATTAGACAACAAATAAATTGCATTCTACAAAACAGTGAAGAAAGTAAAACCAAAATATAGATCTTTCGTGACCCATAAAAAATAAATCTTTGCACTTATATGTACTCTTTGGTTAGTTCTTAAAACATTGAGAAAATCAAAGAATAATATATATTTAGATGGCAAACAAAAAATCACAAATAAATGAAGTATTGAAAAATAAATTGAGTCATCAAACTATTAACCAAATAATTCTCCCCCAAAAATCAAGTTCAATGATCTTGTAGTCTTAGCAAAGCCATAAAATAAATTTCAATCCATCTTTTGCATACTCACAAAACAAAAATAAATATGTAAAACTTGTTATAATATAACTCAGCAAAATGCCAACAAATGCATGAACCAACAGCACAATCCTATAATTAAGATGTGTAAGGTATTTATAATGCATAAAAATTTTTGGTTCAATTCCATTGGGGAATAACAAAGTAAATGAAAGCATGCAGCTAAAACATTAATGGAAAACAAGCAAATATATAAAATATAAGTAATTAAATGCAATCATAAAATAACATATGTAATATGATATTCAAGTTGCAAAGTGATGTCAAGTATTTTGATGGTATGATCATGTTTTGATGCATTTTATGTTATAATATTGCAGTGATATTTTGGTGGTATTGTGTCCTAAGTGATATTCAAGTTTCTTCATTTAGTTGTAATATGTTTGAATTATGGTTGTGTTATGATTCTCTTATGATGGAATTGAGGTTATAGTGTGTTAATATTAAAGTTGTATTATGGTGTCAATATGATGATATTATGTTGCTTCATGATGGTATATGAGGGTAATTGCAAATAGATTTTACATTAAATGTTCTCTGAAAACTAAACAATGATATTTTTTGTTTTCCAAGCACATTAAACATGTGAACCTCCCTAAATAAAATACATTGCATATTATAAGGTCGACAATACATATGATTGTAGTGAGATAATTACAAATGTTACATTAAACAAGTGAGACAAATAAAATTTTAAGTTTAATATTTGAGTTCGAAAAAAATAATGCATCAAATGTAGTTTTACATTGAACAAATGACCACAAATGAAGAATTAGATTTCTATGTTAAAAAAATTGACCATAAATGTTAATAAATAAAGTCGACTTATTTTCCCTGTTTACCTCTTAATTTCTTATATTTCTCTTAATTGTTTTTTTTCTTTAATTGTATCCATTACAACTAATGTAAAAACCTAATCATTGTATGTTGAACAACAAAACTAGTTTAAAAGCTTTTAGCTAGAAACATATCAAAACCTTGTTAGGAGTCTTGAGTTTTAGTGCCGAAGATGAGGTGTATATGAACATGCCAGTGACGACGTCAAAACCTTTAACGCGCTTCCAAGCGAAGTGGCGAAAAAGTTTAGCCGAATTAAGGGCCCGTTTGGGGCAGTTTTTTTGGTGCGGTGGCGTTTTGAAAGTGCACTTGACCTGTTTGGGTAAACTACATTTTGACAGCTTATGCGTTTTGAAAACGTTGAAAACAACATTTTCAGACCACACCTATCTAGGTGCGGTGGTAGCTTTCTGGCAGTAGTCTGATTTTTTTTAAAAAATAAAATTTTGCAATAGCCACCGCACATAGCTTATTAGCAAATTATTCAATAAGCTGCAGTTGCCCCAAACAGACCCTAAAACTAGTACAGTTTCAAAAATTGGCTGACTTTTTAGGTATAGATGAAAATCCTAAAAATATAAATATGAATAGAGAAAACATGTATTTTTTTTAGGCATTCAGTCGCCCTCTGGGCCGGATTGCGCGAAAAAATACATTTTTAACAATTTTTTAAATGTCCAAAACCGGGCCCAATATTTTTCGGAATCACCTCTGGGGCGGGAGACGGATAACTCTACGGCGTATTCATCGGCCGGTCAATATTCCCTCCGGTGAGCCCTGAGAGGAGGCGGCGATTGAATGGGAAGAAATGCTGCACGAGCTGCAGCTTGCTCTTCTTGGTTACACCGGAGATTTGATAATCGATGAGAGGGACGGGCGGTTCGACGCTATTTCAGACTTCCCAAACGAACCCACCTTCAAGCTAGCGCCGGATCTCTCCTCCATACAGCCATCCGAGAGGTATGCCAAAACCCTAACCAACAATTATTGATGTCTAGAAGGAAGCATCCTAGCGTGAGATTAACACCTAATTTTAAGATATCAGAGGGTATGATCTCGCGCCGCCCTCAACATTTCTTGGCTTATGCTTTATAAGGGTTTGAGGGCTGGGTGTAGGGTTTAGCATAGCTCTCCGAATGCCTAAACAGAGACAGACACCTAGTAGGATTCTATTAAAACGAAGGGAGCAGGGCTGAACTAAATCCCATATCGAAAAAATAGGAAAGGATATTAGGCTGCACAAACAAGGGTTGAGCAATTATATGCATCATGCAATGAGGTTTCTGGTGTGATGCGTGGATTTCACTTTGAAATTTTACAGTCAAGCATAATTGTAATTGAGCACCTTCTGGAAGAGTAGCCTCCTTGGAAGTTACTCAACAAGCCATAAAACCATGAGGTTCAGAGCAATCTAAACTTGGCTGGGCAAAATCAAACAATGCCTGACATTAAATGATATTGGTTTTTGTACACATCAAGATTCTTGATCTATTTTATGGAATGGTATACAAGACATTGACTGCGACTATGGGAGACTCAAAGATACGTGAGCTTGTGATGAAGTTGCTGGAAACAATATCATACACAAGAATGACCAGCCTTGCCGATCACTCCTTGCCTTCCTTAGTTCACCATGTTTGAATTTGGGTGTCACAGACCAACTTATGCTTGATTTGTCCTTAAAGAAAATATCCTACTAGAAGATGTTATATTATGATAACAATTGCATGCTTTGACCTGGCTGATCACATGCCAGGCTGAACTTCATGTCTTTACACTTTTTTTTGTAACTTTATGAGAGATCATTATCCTAGAAGTGCTTCATTACGATCATGCTTAACTGTTGAGCTCAGAAGGGAAATCCACCATAGCTACACCAAGAGCCACCTTGTTTATCGTGACTCAACTCTTTACTTTTGTTGATATTATATTTCTCCTTTCATTCAATATGAGATCTGATTCTTTTTTATCCTCATTTTTCTCTTAGAAACTTGCTAGGATTTACTCCTTATATGGGCCTCATCATCAACAATCACTAGCTGCACTTTATAACTTTTTCCTTTAAATTTGGGATGCTACAATATGTTTCTTTAATTTCTGCAAAATTTCTTATATATATAGGATAGATTAATAAAGTCAATCGATGAGTACTCTCTGTCCTATCTTATCCAAATTGTGCTAGGGAGATTGCTTTTGCCCTTTCGCACTTTTATTTTTTTCTTTAGGGTAAGTGCCTCTTATTTAGAGAAAGGAGTACTATTCTAATTGGGAAGAAGCTTCTCAAGAGGCTGAGGATTAGTTTTAGCTTTGATAAGGACTACCTGGATTTTCTCTGTAGCAACTTCACTGGTAAGAACCATGGTTTATCGTTCGCCTACATGTCTTTGCTTTGCCATCAAAGTCATTGTTAATTTTGACAGCCCCCTCATTAATGAATGCTTCATGACTGAGGAAGGAACTAATGCCCATCTATTCTCTTATTTACTCGCTTTTTCTGCAATGTTTGAGCATTCATCTTAATGAACAATGATGGTCTCCATATGTACGGTGGCGTTACAGAGACCTCCCGTGGAACCCTTGGTTTGATCAAATGTAGTCACTTTTATGAGCATGCTTCTTGACACAAAGGCCAAACTCATGCTCTTGTCAACATCTTGATGTTGATATTGCTAATGTGAGTTTGTGGGAATTCAACACGGTGAGATATTGTGTAGGTTAGGAATCAATTCATTAGATAGTAGTCCATGAGCAAAAGTTTCATGTTTTATTTTAAAGATATGCATTCGACACAATCGCATGTTTTTAAGGGCCCAGGGACACCGAAAAAATACTATGTGTTGATAATACAATGTAACATTTGACATATTATGAGGTCCATTATGTTAGTGGAGAAGTGCAATCCATTTGTTTTACTATGCAAGCCTAATCGCCTGAATAGATTCAATGGATTTTAAATTAGCATGCATTTTATTCAGTTCATCAATTTGAAGGTGGTTTTTACGTAATAGTACATGGATAAAAATCTCTGCCAATATTTTTATTTCTTTTCTTGGATGAACTCGATTTAGTCAATGGTATGAGCAAATTGTGGAACATCGTTCTACTACTCAGTGTAATTGGATATACTTGGTGGGAATAGTTATAAAGGACGCATCCAACATAATTGTGGTGGCTGGTAAGTTATTATAATAAATTAATAACTGAGGATTCAAATTCCACCTGGAGTTTATAACAAAGTTTTGTATGGTAATGGTGGTCAATTCTGATGATGTAAATGACTTGCCATTTATGACGAAGGTGATATTGATTCTTTACTCGAGCCTATAAGTAGACCTCCCTTGCTGAAGGGGAAAAGGCTTGGTTTGAGATCTCAGAACCTCTCAAGCTTACTACGTGCTACAAACTAATTTAAGTAAGTTCCAAACTGTTGGATTCTTTTGTAGTTTATCCCATAGCTTGTTTGAACTCACTCTTTTCCTCTTTTGTACTTTCTCATTCTCTACTTTTGTCTCCATCCCTATGTCCTCGCTTGGAGGCAGGTAAAATTTTCTCCCTTTCTTTGTCTGTAAATATTTTTGGTCTTCACCTTGATTTGAGACTCGAGTAAGCACATGATTGTGACCTTACGAGCTAGTTATGCTTCCAACAATATGTATATGTAATGTATCAGATGGCTGGTCTTTGAGTGCCAAAGCCATGCAAATATTTGGCTTTATTGTATGTTCCAAGCTTAATGGACCATCTATTTTTGCATGGTGTTATTTTTACATAATCACAATGCACCAGATTACTGATTGCATGGCATGGAACGTTGGGATATTCCTATACTAGCTAGCAATTTGGAGTTTTTAAGAACGTGAAGGCCAATGTGGTTGCAAGTGTTATCTGAGAAATTCTAGAGCTTTCAATTCGTAGTTTCTACTTTTGATTTTTTTCAAGATTGCTATTTTCTTGAGAAATTACTTGTGTTAGAGCCAAAAAGTAAAAAAAAAAAGGAATTCGGAAAATTTTGTTGAATCTGCATCCGTTTTTCATATTTCTATTGCTTATTTATGTGCCTAGATAGTATGATGGACATCAATTTGCTCCATAGACCAGAAAATTTAATGCTTATGATTTGGGCAAGGCCTCCTAAAATCCCAGAAGTTTTTCCCTCAGGAGAGTTTTCTAAGTAAAGATTATGTTATTTTTTTTTCCAAAATTTTAATGAATGCTTTGAGTAATTTCTACAAGATTAGTAATTGTTTCAGTCATTTTTACTGGTAGTAATTCCTCATATTAAACATTTTAGTCAATGGGATGAAGGGCTGGATTTATTTTTCTTCACATTTCAAAGTGATCCTAAAATAGTCTCATCATGTTTCATCTCCACCAATAAGAATTTTAACAATGATTATTATTGTTTTAGAGTTGATTATATTGATGCATTTTGCACGTTTAGGGGCTATTTGGCTGCAAGCAGGATTTTGTAAATCCCAAAGTCTGTAAATCCATCCATCTCCTGGATTTGGTAAATCCATATTTTGGCTGAATCAAATGCAAAATTGGATTTTTGTAAATCCGAAAATTTGTAAATCCATGGAAATTCTACATTTTGTGTTTAGCTGGATTCAGTAAATCCCCTGATAAATCCTATTATGGTTCATCTACCAAACACCACTTATGTTCTTTTGAATCTTCAACGCCTCTACCTGAAAAATGTCATTTTTTAAACATTGTAAATATTTATTTTCAGGGACATTATCGAAAGGCTTTTACCACTAGGCTTCTACTATAGGGCGCTTGATCACTTTGCTGCTAAGCATCGCCATTTGAGTTCATCTCAGTTTGCACAATATTTTCCTCATACCCAAGCTTCTGAATTGCAGAAAAAAAGCCCTGGGAAAGGAAGTGTATACCGCAGGGCTATTGCAAATGGGATAGTTGAGATTTTATCAGTTTATAGGTCATCTGTTCTGCAAGTCGAGCAGAACTTGTTATCAGATCCTATGCCTATTCTGGCAACTGTCACTCTTGGCCTAAACAAGGTTAGTTGATTCGATTATTCAATAAAATGATCAATGCATACATACATGAATCAATTTCTGCTAACAATGATTACCTGATTCTTTGTATTGTACATATTCTTATTCTGCTGACCAGTCCATTGAGAGTTTAATTACTTTCAAATGCTTCTCAGGGGTATATATACTATTTCTGAATATAAGAGTTGAAACCAAAATACTTATGTCCAATTTCACTTAAAAATATTGTAGTTTAAGTTGGAAGCATTTCATTATTTTTTATTTTGAGTACCGTATCTATTTCTAAAGTACTATCATAACAAATGTTTCTTAATATCTGTGCTCCCTTGTTCTGATATACAATGCTAATCATTGATTGGTCTATTCACTATAGTATATTTTTGACTATTGGAATCTATTGCCTCTTCAAAGATGTATCCCGTCCACACTTTTTTTTCTTATTAGTGTTGTCTCATAAGAGTGATCTATTCATGAGATTTATGTGGGGCTGTGAAGACTTTGAGGTAAAACTCGGGGGGAGGTTTTTTTCTTCCCGTTTCTTTGAACTGTGCGGGAATATATAGACTTCTTTACATAAATTTCTTTGTCCAGAAAGGATATGACAAGTTTTATGCTTCCTATCTTAACAATTACCACGCTATCTTATCTGTTTTTTGAAGAGTGCTTCTTAATTTTTATGCTTATTCATTTGCAATTCTCTTGAAAATTTTTCATGATTTTCCGTTTATCTGTCAATATTTTGAACAAATAGGCTGAATGCCTTTTCTTTTGCTTTCATTCCAATAAATAGTAGTCTATACAATCTATTTTAGGTACATAATATTGTGTATAAATTATTTTAGATAACTTAATTAATACATATTCATAATCTAAATATTCAGCTAAAAGGAAAGAATACATGCAAATATAATATTTTCTTCTTTGCAGTATTGCGAAGAAGGAAACTCTTTATTCTGACTGATTTTATTTATTCCTGATCGATATCCCCTTTCAAATTGATGCTGTCTGATCAAGAAACATCAATTTGTTGACAAGAAACTGATGACGCTGTCGAGAAAAAGTCTTAGTAAATATATTTGCCGTTTGAAGATCAGAAGTGATATGAGGAAAAAATATAATACCATTCTCATAAGCTTCTCGAATGGAATGACAATCTACTTCAATGTGTTTCGTGTGCTCATGAAAGACGAGACTAACATCAATCTGGATAACACTCGTATTATCTGCATAAAGAGGAGTAGACTCAAGCTGAGGAAAACCAAGCTCAGCCAGCACACCTCGAAGCCAAATGATCTCGGAACAAGCAGATGACATAGCGCGATATTCTGATTCAGTAGATGACTTAGACACTCGATCTTGTTTCTTGCTCTTCAAAGAGATTAAAGAGTTGTCGAGAAACATACATAATCCAGTAATAGATTGGCGTGTATCAGAACAACCAACTCAATCGACATCACTATAGGCTGTTAAGGTGATAGGAGTCTTCGCAGAAAAGAACAAACCTTGATGAGAAGTACATTTAAAATGCCGAACAATACGTCGAACTGTAGCTAAATGAAGATATGTAGGTGCTTGCATAAATCGGTTAATTTGTTGTACAACAAATGAAATATCAGGACGCGTAATAGTTAAATAATTGAAACTCCCAACAAGTTGTGATATATATATGATTCAGATAGAAATTCACCATAATTCTGTTGATATTTGACATTTACTTCCAAAGGAGTATTGACAAAGCGACCATCTTGAAGACCAACCAAAGCAATGAGTCCTGTCGTATAGTTGTGTTGATGAAGGAAAATACCAGCGGCAAAAGAGTGAACCTCAAGTCCTAAGAAAAAAGTTAATGATCCCAAATCTTTTATATAAAAAGAACTCTGAAGACGATTCTGTAGCTGAAACATCAATTGATTGTTAGATTCTGTGATGATAATGTCATCAACATAGACTAATAACAAAACAATTCCCTTGTCAGTTTTACAAATGAATAATGATGAATCATACTAACTTTGAATAAAAGAGAAACTAAGAAGAATTTTGTGAACTTTTCAAACCAGACCCGTGGAGTCTGTTTTAAACCGTATAGGGACCTTTTTAGCTTACAAATATCATGTGAAGATGTAGAAAACAAGCCTGGAGAAAGAATCATATAAACATCTTCTTTGTGATCCTCATGTAAGAAAGCATTCTTAACATTCATCTGCTTTAAGTACCAGATTTTAGATGCAGCAATAGATAACACCAGCCGAACAGTTGTCATCTTAGCCACAAGTGCAAATATTTTGTCATAATCAATCCCGTATTCTTATCGATTGTCAAGAGCTACCAATCTTGCCTTATATCTGTCAAAAGAGCCATCAGATCAGAGTTTAATGGAGTAAACCCATTTACAACCAATGGGTTTAACATCTGTAGGATATGACAATATCCTAAGTGTGATTGTGTTGAAGTGCCTAAAGTTACTCTAGCAGCATGAAAGTAAGAGGTAGGAACAATAATATTAGTTAAAATTGCAGAATACTCATATCTATCTTGAGGATGGTTATGCCGAGTTGATCGTCAAAGACTTATTGGAGTAATTTCTGGATCAAGGTCGGGGAGGATTGAAGGTGAAGGGGGCAGACGTCGTGTGTAGACAATGTCTCGGAAATCTGATAGCTAAGATTTCAGAAGACGATTTCCTTGGACTCCGAAGAACGACGAAGGTGGATGAAGATGCCGACAAAGATAACAAAAACTAAGAATACCAAGGATTCAGACCGATTAAAGCTCTGATACCATGTCAATATTTTGAACAAATAGGCTGAATGCCTTTTCATTTGCTTTCATTTCAATAAATAATAGTCTGTACAATTTATTTTAGGTACATGATATTCTGTATAAACTATTTTAGGTAACTTAATTAATACATATTCCTAATCTAAATATTCAGCTAAAAGGAAAGAATTCATGCAAATATAATATTTTCTTCTTTGCAGTGTTGCGAAGATGGAAACTCTTTATTCTGCCTGATTTCATTTACTCCTGATTGATATTGTCTACACATTATGTGTACAAATAAATTATAACATCTACAAGATTTTTATGATATGACATGTCACCACTTCTTTCTCAATCCCATTCAAGAATTGCTGTCCCTTGCATTCAGGGAATAGCATTCTTCATATGCTATTAAAGAAGTATATTTCCATTTGTATTTTAGTGGTGTGGTGTTTTTAGGGCCAACTGATGAAGACGTCATAATCATTTTATTGTTGAACCACATGCTCTTCTTAAGGTGAAAAACTCCTTAACGATTTTGCCAGCTCAAGGTTATATCCAAATGCCATATGCAAGGGAACAAATAGGGATAAGCGTACTCCTGAAAATTTCTTAGGTGGCCTTCGGTCAAGGAGAGTTAGATTTTCACATAAACTACGATCTATGATGTTGACATACTTAACAAAAAGCCTATAGTCTAGTCTTCTAAGCACAAACATTTAATAGCCCGAACGCTTCTATTCACAAACATGTAATAGCTTGAACTCTCATTCGTCTATATATTGTCTACTTTGGCTTATTGGCCATCTTGTTTTGTCCCATTGGTGTAACTTCCTAGGAGGGCACTTATTTTGAGATTGCTCTTGTACAAGACTTTTAACTTTCGAGTTTCTAATAAAACTTTAACCATGATGCTGAAGGATGCTTTGATGTTTAATAGTTCAACTTCATTATACTTAAGAGATTTTACAGTCTCTCACATTTGGTAATTGACGTCCTCGTAAATATTCTTAACCCAAAATCATCCACCCGGTAGATAGGATTCTAAAGATAATCCATATAGACTTAAGAGGTGACTCCCATCATGCAACATTTTGCCCTTTAGATGGTTCAACTAATGGCTTCCATAGTGTAGCACTTTGTTTTATTTGATACTTAGTTCCCATCTTTAGGCTTGTACGACTCCCACCCATCAATATATTGTTTGCTTTGATGTAATGAACTTGCAGTTTTGTCCCATTGATACCCATTCGGAGAGTGCTCCTATACGAGCTTGCTTAACTTTGAAGTTTATAATGAAAGTCTATCCATTACACCAAAAAACACCTTAATGTACTAAGGAGTTTCATAAACTTCCCCATTTAAGTAACTATGCTATTTTTAGTATTCTTAACTCAAAATCATCCATCAAATAAATAGAATCCTAGAGGTGGCCCTACAAACTCAAGGGGTAGCTTATACTATGTAGCACTTTGTCCTATCTAAGGTTCAAGAAATATGACGCGGGCGTGAATTTGGAGTTGACTGGTTCAGGAGGGAGCCAGACTTGTGAGTGGGAGATACCACTCCTTCCTTCCTTTCCATTTCTGTTTGCCGCCCCTCCTCCCTTGTTTTTTCGGTTTTTCGCCCACAGGGGAGGGGCCTTCCTATTCTATCTTCCATATATATTTGTTGTTTGCTTGCTTATGGCTCAGTTTTGGATTTGTTATGCTTTTAGATTTCCGCCCCTAGGAGTTCTTCTCTATTTAGGGTTGTATTCCACCACAGGCGGTGCTCTAGGTATATTTTGCTCCGAGGTGGTGACTATCCTGACCTATTCCCCTGCATATCTCTCTCCCCCACATGCTGCTGGCACCCTCACCTTCCCTGACCAATCGCTGTTTCCGTCCTAGTTCTTGCTGCCACCCCAATTCTTACTAGCAGTCCACCCGCTCGCTGTCAGCTCCGTTCGGTCCCTAAGCTGGGTTGCTCTGGCCCTCCAACCACTTTACCAAGCCTTACACCACCTTCCCATCCTCTCCCTGCTCGCCCCATCTCCCTATTTGTTCTCACCAAACCGCAGGTTAGGACTCCTTGTCTTGTCACAACTGAAACCCTCTATTAGCTCCCTTACAATTCACCACCGCCCCTCCTAGACCACATCGCCGCTGCCCACCGGGCCATCCTGATCAGCCCTTGCGGAGGATTCTTGTTGTGTTGTTTTTTCTTTCCTAATATGAGTATTGTTTGTATCCTCGTTGGTT